CAACACTTTTGGCAGAAGAACAAGCATGGCTTCTTGTGGTGTGTCTTCGAGCATCTATCTTCGCAACGAGGACCGCATTCTGTAATTTCATGCATGGATCAACATGCACCATTTTAATCTCAAACATCAAAATTGTGTTAACTGGATTCATGGTTACCGAATTTTTTTCATTTAACCCATGTAAGTACCGTATCAAAATTTTTGGACAGTTTCGAATGCTCAGCATGTATCCAACTGCTCTTAATCCTCTATTACCCATTTATGTAAGTTTTTTTCCCCTTAAACTGTTCTTGATCAATTAGAGTTAAATCATGAACAATAAATTGAAATGTTATTGGAATTTATAGTGATATGCTATTATTTATGTTAAATTCACAAATAATAAAGTTTAAAATTATAATAAAAAATTATAAAAAGTAAAAATAATATCAATTATTTATATAATCACGAATAAAATCCGTGTGACAGTAATAATATTCAATAGGGAGTTTGGTAACTATGACTCGATTAATTACTCAATTGGGATTAATCAATTTCCTTCTAATCCACTGTCGAACATCTTAGCATGATTTGATCCTTATTTTACTTTTTTTTCAAAAATATCAATTGTACTTTTTATTTGAGTAAAGCGACATAGAAATAAAATAGATCATTTTTTTTATACCTTCTGGTTGAAGACTGCCTTCAGTAGTGCCAGGCTGAAAGTCAAGAAAACAATGACATCAATACAAAAAGGAAAACGATGTTTACGATAGTCGTAAATAGAAAACTACTGAAATTTTGCTTTATGCCAAATTGTCCAAATAAAAAACAGAATATGTGAAAAGCCTTACCGGGGAAGCGTTGTTGCTAGGCTGTGGAGTTTCAACCTCAACAGTGGTAAGAAAAATCTTCCCCTGAAGGCATCAACGTTAGGGTATGCTACATAAACATAATTTGTCTAACGTATTATAATAAATATATGCAATAAAGGGACACTATTTACCTACGAAGTTAATCATTCAAATAATTTATTCAAATACTACTAACAAGAAAAAATAATAATTGAAAGAACAATTAATTCTTGTGATTCACTTATATAAAGGAAGAAAGTTCACAAAAATGAAGTGATAAAGAAAAAGCATGCCTTGCTGATGTGGTGATAGCAGAACAAAACAAGTTAAGCAGTATTTATATTTTATAGCAAGGGCACTGCCTCAACTCCACTCAAACCAATACTTTAATTCTTGTTCTTAGTGCTTGTAAAAAATAAATTAATTAATTAAAACATAATAAGCTACATTGAGCTTCACTTTGGAGAGTTTAAAAGAGTTTATCGAGAGAGTTTAAAATTCTTGTAAAATTTTTTAGTTTATTACACTAACCTTTTAAGCATAATTTATCAGAATTTATTTTTAAAAAATTGTGTCAAGTTTATAGGAAAAATCATGATATAAAATGAGCCTATTGAATCAGTCGGTTTTTTTTTTTTTTTTTTTTTTGTTATTGTTAACTTCAATTTGAAATGATAACAAGAATTAAACTCAGATAAATTGTGTGTGTGTGTGTGTGTGAGAGAGAGAGAGAGAGAGAGAGGAGTGTAGGAATTGATATCTTACCATCCCCTCCACAAGAAGAACCATTGTAACTAGACAGATGATAATGAAGGTCTGGTTTGTTGTCATTGCTAAGTGCTAACGGTTGCAATCTTTCACAGAAACAGAGAAAAGTTGTGTGAAGTGTGGTTTTAAAGTACAACTGAAGTGTGTACTTATAGGCAGTTGGGTAAGACTTTGTCTATTTTTTGCACGAAATGTGGCGTTATGTTGGCAATCATTTTAGATTGGGAAGATACAGTCATTTTTCATTATGCCCATTGCAGATTCCACACAATCATATATTCTTGCCTATTCAATTGCCCAATCTGACCCCTCGTTTATTATGTCTCGACAATATTAGTGATGTTTTCATGCTTGTTAGAGAGAGAGGGACAGGGAAAGATGGCTTCAACGCCACTTTCAATAAAATAAAATAAAATAAAAATACTCACCCTTAAATGAATATCAAATAGGATGGAGTTAGTAGCTTGTAATTTTTCATAACATTTTTTAGAGATATATTAGTAAGTGTCTTAGAAGGTATTTGTTAAAAATCTAAAGTATTCTCGCATTTCAATTGAATTACACAAATTAAGAAAAATATGAATAATAGTTCATATATTAATTTAAAAATTTATACAACATTTTAAGTTTACTCCTTGTTAAATTCAATCTCTTATCACATTAGTTATTAAAAAGTTAAAAAGCTTTAATATTTGTAAAAGAGAAATATGAAAAGGAATAACAAATGAGGTGTATTGAAAGTATTCAAAAGATTCTAATAAATCTGCATCATCATATATTTTAGGACCACCCGTAATTAATAGAGTTTGATACCCTCTCTTACACGTTAAATAATTGTCATCATTAATTTTAATTTAATAGATAGTGGGGCTAATAGTTTAGTTAATAAGACGTTAATACTTTCCAATATTTAATATATTAGAAAAATCATAACAGTTAATCTAAAATGGTATTGTAGAAAGCACTTATATTTTATGGTTTGATAGAGAATAGTTAGCATGTGTAATCACTCTCAAAGAGGTGATGATATTTTGAAGAGTAATTTCACATGTAAACTGCTCTTCAAGTAATGTGAGACCTTTCATGTTAAATACATTTCAAATATTGTTAAAAAAGAAATTAGATATTATCCAAAAATATTTGAGAGGTTGAAAAATTATGTATAAACACCATTGTGTAATAGATGTACAAAGTTCATAATATTGACTATTGTGTTAAAGCGTTATAAATTAAAAGCCTTTAATGCATGGAGTGATAAGAGTTTCACAAACTTGCTTAGTTTATTGAATGACATGCTACCAGAGAATAATATGCATCCTAAAAGAATATATGATATTAAACAAATACTTGCTTCCATTAGATTGATTATGCACCAATGTTCAAAATGTAATGTATCATGCAACCTAAAGAAAAAATCTACACTAACTAGGGTGATATTATATTTTTTAGTAATATCAAGATTAAAGCGCGTGTTTTCTAGTGTATCAAATGCAAAACATTTGATATGGCATGCTTGCCGAAGACAGAATTAAAGATGGAAAGTTTAGGCATCTAGTAGATTTTCTTTAGTGAAAAAAATTTAATGATAAATTTGAAGAAATAGCAACAAAAATAAGAAATGTATATTTTGTTTAAGTAGTTGATGGAATGAATCTTCATAATAGACAACGTAGTACCCAAAGTACATATCCTATGATTTTAATGATTTATAACTTACTTCCATGGCTTTGCATGAAGTAAAAATATATAATGTTCTCTTTATTGATCTTTGGTACTAAACAACATAGAAATAATATTAATGTGTACTTGTCTCCTTTAATTGAAGATTTGAAGTTTTGTGAAAAACTAATGTAAAAGTATATAATGGGTTCAAGGAAGAAATTTCAAACTAAAAGAAATGTCAAATGGTACAATTAATAATTTTCTAGCATATGACAATTTATATGGATATAACAGAAAAGGACAATATACATATTTGATATCTTGTGAAAAATAGATTATATTATACTCCAAAATTATCACAAGAATGTTTTCATAAGGTATCGTTGGTTACCATATAATTATCTTTTTAGAAATATGAAAAAAAGCTTTTACTGAAAATTATAAAGAATGATGATATCTTTATTTGATAAGAAGAGATTAAATGTTTAAAGAGGTTAAGGACGTCACAACAAATTTTAGTAAATCATTTGCCAAAAGAACTTCCAACTTGGGATTAAAATATGTCAATTTTTTTTGAGTTACCCTACTAAACATCCCTACACGTCAAACATTTCGTTAATGTTATACATGTTAAAAAAATATTTGTGAGAGTGTCATTAATACATTATTGAACATCACCAAATAAAAAAAATGACATTAATATAAAATAAACTTAATAATATAGAAATATGATTTGATTTGGCACAAATGAAAAAAAATCTCACTTTTATCACCTTAACATATACTCTTTTTAAGAAAGAGAAACAAACTTTTTGTTAGGCTATTTATTTAATTAAAATTTTTGAGAATTACTCATCAAACATAAAAAATTTCATCTCATTGATGTTATTGTAGTATTAGATTATTTTTCTTAAAGTATTTTTTAAAGAAATTTTTGGAGGTAGAGATAAATTTTTTATTTTAAATAAACCTATTTAAAATTAATATTTTAAAATAAAACATATAAATTTTCATATTAACATAAACTTAATATATTAATTATGCATTGTCATAATAAATGATTTACAATTCTCTTAATTTAAAATTCTTTCTCCTCCTTTCTCAAACATACTTTAAAAGAACCAAACTAAAATAATATTTTTAATTGTAAGAATCAAAATATAGAAAATTTTCATGTAAAAATAAAAATAAAGAATAAACTTATTTTATACGAACTAAAAACAAAAACATATTTTAAGTATAACGCTGAACCAAACACTATGGTAACAATAACATCAAAGAGCAACAACCATTTCGTAAACGTTTTTTTTTTTTTTAATGTAAGGATCAAAATATAACTTTTTTTATACAAGAACTAAAATAAAAAATGATGTTAATGTAGAACTAAATCTTAATTCCACTAAATAAAAATAATTTTTTGAGCCGTAAAAGTGAAGGCTTTACTTACCTTAACCTAGGTTTGTTCAAAGTGTGTATTTATTTTATTACAATCTCAAACGCTTTGTGTTTTAATCGACGAGTATAATTATTTATAATTTTCTAAGATGCTCCCCTCACGTTGGAATAGTAGAATTTCCAGTTCATCGATCAATTGCAAAATTTTCATATTCCAAATCAAAGTCAACATATCCAGAGATAACTAAATGAAAGAAAAATAGAACGTTGAGGTGATATAGTACATTGGAAGCAATGAATTTAACTACTAAGTAGGAACTAAGACTATGAAAGTTTCGATTTTCAAGGGCATTTGGGTCCACCCCTTTTGGTCTTCCAGTTGTTATAGCACGGGCAAATCTCTTTGTTTCCATAAGTTCCAGGAGGCACACACAAGCATGTAGCACAACACTTTTGGCAGAAAAACATGCATGGCTTCTTATGGTGAGTCTTCGAGCACCTTTCTTCGCAACGAGGGCCACATTCTGCAGTTCCATGCAGGGAGCAAATTATGGAAATTAACTAGTTGTATCCATTGAAGAAAAAATAATTAAGAAATCAATAATGCCTTGAGAAGTCAAATCCTGATTGTACATGGAGGAAATCGTATAACTCGATTAATCAATTTTCTTCTAATCCACTATTGTTTATCTTGCCGAAATTTGATCCTTTCACTTTTTTTTTCCCAAAAATATCTGTTTAATTTGTAGGAAGCTTTTGTTTAAGAGTAAATATAAATACAGATTAGATGGAATAATTTGTCCTCAATTATTACCTTCGGGTTGAAGACTGCCTTCAGTAGTTCCATTCTGAAATTTAAAGGAAACAAAAGCCAAAGATGAAATTAACACAAGAAGAAATGCAAATAGATGTTTAGGATAGTTGTAAACATGTTTAGTCCTAAATCACACGTTTCAATTATGTTCAAATTAATTTATGTATATTTCTCAATTATGTTCAAACGCTCAAAATTAATTTTATTTAACTTCAATGTACTTAAACAATTAATCTTATGCAAAACTGTTGAAGTAAGAAACAAAACTAGTGAAAAGCCCTACCGTGGAAGACTTGTTAGGCTCTAAAGCTGGAGCCGGAACAGGAGCTGGAGCTGGAGCTGGAGCCGGAACTGGAGCTGGAGCTGGAGCTGGAGTTGGAGCCTCGGTGGGAGTAAGAAAAATCTCAGCCTTATGGAATCAATGTTAGGGTATGCTACATTAGCATTATTTGTCTTTTAAAAAATAATGTATACAATTAAGCGACAACGTTTACATACCAAAAGAAATCATGTAAATAATATATTCTAATGCTGCATCAGCTCCATTCAAAACTGTAGTTTAATTCTTGTTCTTAGTGTTTGACAAAACAATTCAAATTAAGATTAAGTTAACTTGAGCACTACTTTTAATCACTTGTTATTCTTAACTTCAATTTGACACGAGAAAATTATCTCTAATGGCAAAGAAAGACAAGGGAAGTCATAGCAGTGCAGTGCTTGGAATTGAAATTATGAGTAGGAATTAAGTTATCTTACATTGCTCTCTACAAGAAGAAGAAACATTGCAACTAAGCAGACAATAGCGATACTTAGGATTTTGGCCATTGCTTACGATCGCACTCTTTCACAGAAACAGAGAAAATGTTGTTAATTGTGTAGTGTGATTTTCAAGTGCAGTTGAGCTGTGTAGTTATAGGTAGTTGGGTAGGACTTTGTCTATTTTTAACATGAAAAGTGGCGTTATGTTGGCAATCGGCATAGATTGTGAAGACAGCCATTTCTCGTATGACCCTTACAGATTCTACAAAATGATATATTCTTCCCTGTTGAATTGGACAATATGACCCGTCTTTTGTTATCACTCGACATTATTAGTATATTATGACTGGATCTGGACTACTATGTTCTTTCCTAGTGAATGTCGAAATGCATGGAGTGGGGACCTCGTGAGTTTTTATAACATAATAAATTTTATAATTTGTAATCGAAATTTCAGATTAATTTTAAGTATTGAAAAGTAATAATTTTTTAAAAAGGATATTTATTTTATTTTTAATGTAAAAATACTTTTACAAAAATAACATTTTAAAATTTAAACACATTTAAAAGTTGATGTTAATATTTTCTTAAACTGCGTTATCATGAATATTCTTTCTTATTTGTTGTTAACTCTCTTATTTTGGTATAAGTTAAATTTTAGGATAATATAAAATGTAAGATTCGATACTTCCATAAAGTAAGGTATACTAGAGACGATTGAATGAACTAATAATATCTTTTAATAGAAAATTTACAATGAATTCATAGATTTCGCTATCAGGGCTGTGACAAGGGAATTTTTATAAAGGTGAATTAAATATGGAATAGAGAAAAATAGAGATGGAATGTTATCACCAAAAATTTTAAAGATTTATTATTACCTTTATGACATATTAAAAAAACAATTACCTTAAATTGTATAAAAATTAGTATTATTTTATTTCTAAATTTTGATATCTTATTTATTAATAAAAGAAGAGAAAATAGAGAAAATAATTTTAAAATAATAAAGTCAAATAAATTTTAATTCTTACTCTTAAGTATAATATAGTATAGAGAAAAAAAGGTATACATATACATATATATATATATATATATATTTAAATTTAACTCTATTCGCCTAATTAGCTCTAGTCACAAGAAGTCAAGATGTAAAAGGTATTGGAGAAAGGTGGATCCTCCGCATTAGTGTTGACACTACGTCAGAATAGAGATTTGAGAGAGGTTTCATTTTGAATTAGAATTGCTCTAAAATCTTAGATTATCTGATATGTTATATTTAAGAGAGCGGTTAAACAGCTGCTCTAAAATGTTAAAATTAGAGAACGATTCCGCGTAAAACTGCTTTTCAAAGTATAAATGTAGACTGCGAATCTGAAATTTGAAATTGATTTCTTTAAGATTAGAGAGCAGAGAAAAAAAAAACAAATTAATAAGATATTTTTAACATTAATAGAGAGAAAAATAAAGAAAGAGAGAATAGATGATTCACCGTTAACAAAAAGAAGAAAAAATAAGAAAGAGAGAATGAAGAAATACCTGCATATGTGAAAAAAAAAATTAATTTGTTAGCGTAGAGAAGATGAAGAGAGCAGACTAACAGAGAATGAAGATGCACCTACTGACGTGAAAAAAAAATTAATTTGTTAGTGAGAAAAGACAAAGAAAACAGACTGACAGAGAAAATAAAAAGAACATAAGAAAGTAGAGAAAAAACAGTAAAAGAGACCAATTTTGTTAGCTAAGAAAAAGAAATTCGACGAACGTGTTTCATTTATAATTAATAGAGAACTGCTCTCTAAATATATAGTTACAAAGCAATTTTTACTAACCGCGCTCTAAATTAATGTTTCAAACGCTCATTTCTAACATAGTGTGAGGATGCACATTGTATGGTGTGTGAAAAGTTCTTTTAATTTACAAAAATTTTTTATGAAAAAACTTGGTGAGAGGTTTTTATCAAAGAAATTTTCTAGGTCACTTATCTTAGGAAGGAATACAAAAGTTTTGTAATTGAAGGCACCTGTCAAATTAAGTTACTTTAAATTAACACGAAATAAGAGATTATTTTAAAAAAACAAGTTGAATTAAAGATACAATAAGTCATATTTAAATATTGTTAAAGAATACTTTGAATAACTTTTTATAAAAGTAAATTTTATTAATTTATCTATTAATTTTTAAATATTATTATTAAAAACATGTATATATAAATTTGTACAATTTAAATATTTATAAAAATATATAATTTAAAAGTAACTATTTTTTAATTTTAAATAATATTATTCATTAAAGAATTATATATTTAGTCTCTATAGTTGATATATATTTATGAATTTGATCATATTTAAAAAATTTATATTTTAGTTATTGTATAAGTATTTTTTTACATTTTAGTATCTGCTGTTATAACGACATTAATGATGTAAGAAATTAGTTGTTTGAGTGTAAGAACTAAAACATATTTTAAGTATAGAGATATTTTAAGTATAAAAACTAAGAAGAAAGTTTTGTTTAAATATAGAGACTAATTTGTAAACATATCAAATATTTAAATTAAATATGCATTTTAACCAATTATAATTTTAAAGAAGTTACACAATTTGAACTTAAGTATCCTAATTAGATGTTTGTACAACTTTTGTAAGATCATACATTTATTAAGTTTATATTTTTTTAATAATATATCAAATTTTATAATGTATTTAAAAAAAATTCATATAAAAAATAAAAATATTTATTATATTTGAGATATAAAATTAGGCTATTACTTAAAATTTTAAAAAACTAACTTTATTATATAAATGATTTTATAAGTTTTCTATCATGATATAAATAATTCTTATTATATCAACTCAAAATTTTATTAGTAAATCTTTTGTTACTTTCTCTGTTAATTAGAAAAAAAAAATATCTAGACATATATAAGTCTTTTTAAATTGATATAATAGGACAAAATAATCATATACCTAGATTTTTCTAAACTATAATAAAAAGCTTTTATTATATGTGAATTATTTTTAATATTTTATTAATATAATTATTATTTTTTATTGATTTATATATTTACCAAATTAATAAATTTTATCAATAAACATATATAATTTTAAACCACAGATGATATTTGACTTAAATATATATTTCTATTTTTTAAAATTTATAATTCTTTTATTTAATGACTCATTTTTAAATTTTTTTAGACAAATTAACTAAAAATATTTTTCTTAAATTTTACAATTAATACTTATTTATAAATTGATCCTTATACTTAAAGATAACTTATGTTTTAATTTTTATATAAATATTTTATTACATTTTATTTTCTACTATTATGAATTAAAACGTAACAAAACATTGTATAGAAATTAAACTATAATACTTTTTTAAATATAAAGACTATTTTATATATGAATATCAACTATAGAAACTAAATATATAATTTAACTAAAGCGATAAAATATTAATTAATATTTAAATTATGTAAAATATTTTAAACTTAATATAATACGTAGAATGTTATTTGATCTTGACCTACATTTGTATTAGAATTATTAATATACTCTCACCGTGTGGTCTACGTGGATAGAAAAAAGAAATAAAGAGAAAATAACTTTCTTTGGCTGAAGAAAAATAGAAAAAATTTTCCTTTTTGAGCATACACCCAGTTTAAAGTGAAAAGTATTCTCTTATTCCTTGAAGAAGAATGAGAGTGAACAGAGAGCAACACAACTAATAAAGCTATTTTAAATGCTATGGTGATATATAGTACAGGGGCATTGGGTGGCAACAATGAATTTGAATAGAGACTAAGATTGTGAAAGATTTAAAGTTCAAGGGCATTTGGGGCCACCCCTTTTGGTCTTCCAATTGTTATAGCACGGGCAGACCTGCTTGTTGCCATAGGTTCCAGGAGGCACACACAAACATTTGGCACAGCACTTTTGGCAGAAGAACAAACATGGCTTCTTGTACTGTGTGTTCGAGCATCTATTTGCGCAACGAGGACTGCATTCTACAATTTCATGCATCCATCAACATCAAATCTTAACAATACACTAATAAATAATGACTAAACGTTTCACTCGCTTTTCATTAACTGATATATACCTTGTGGTTGAAGACTGCCTTCAGTGGTGCCATGCTGAAACTCAAGAAAACAAAGATTAAATTAACACAAGAAATTAGGATAGTTGTAAAAAGACAATGTTCTCAATAATTAGCTTTATGCCAAATGTGAAAACCTTACAGTGGTAGAATTGGTGTTAGGCTGCGGAGCTGGAGCTGGAGCTGGAACTGGAACTGGAGCTGGAGCCTTAACGGGAGTAACAACGGTCTTAGCCTGAAGGCATCAATGTTAGGATATGCTACAGTTATATAATTTGTCTAGTGAAAAAATATGTATATATAATAAGAACTTTGTTATATCTTTTATTTATTTTAATAATAATTCTTCTATTATTTTATAAAGTATGTATTAAATTAAAAATATATATATTTTATTATCTTAAAAAAAATATTTAATATTTTTTATATTTAGTAATTAGAAGAAGGCATAAGGATTTTAAATTATTCATACAAGCCACATCATTTACATTCAAGAAGAAATCATGTAAAAATCAACAACATACAAAAATAATAAAAAGAACAATTAATTATCGTGATTTACATATTTAAAAAAATTTAAATTATATATTTAATTTTAATTGTGTTGACACTTTTGAACGAAATAACTTTATGCTTTAAAAGATTGTGTTTGAATCTTTATATGAATATTTTTATAGTTTAGTTATTATTTACATTTTGATCTTTGTCATTAACAATGTCATAATAATAAAAATTAAAATGTATTAAAATAATTAATGGGAGTTAGTTTAGGTAGCAATTGACTTAATATCACTTAAGCAAAGTGAATTTTTATGTATGTGAAAAATTTTCAGTAATAAACTCATCTATCATAACTTGGTTAAAAATTTATATTTAAACCAAATATCATTTATAATTTAAAATTATATATTTATTAATAAAATTTATTAATTTGGTAAATACATAAATCAATAAAAAATAATTATTATAATTAATAAAATACTAAATATAACTTATATATAATAAAAAATTATCACAGTTAAAAAATATTTAAACATATTTAATCTTTTAATTTGATATAATAGGGAAAAAATTAGATATGCCAAATTCTTTTATCTAATTGATAAAAAAAGGTAACAAAAAAAACTTGCTAATAAAATTGAGTCGATATAATAAGAATTACTTATATTATGATAAAAAAAATTTATGAATTTATTTATATAATATGATCCTCTAAAATTTTGAGTAAAAATCTAATTTTATATTCAAATATAATAAATATTTTATTTCTTAAATAAAAAAATATTTTTTAAAAAAATTATAAAAATTGATATATCATTAAAAAGGATAGGCTAAATTAAGTGCTACTTTCTTACAAAAGTTATACAAACATCGAATTAAGATAACTTGAGAGTTATATTATGCAACTTCTTAGAAATTTAACCTTAAAGAAAGAAAGCAATTCACTAAGAAAAGTAAATCAAGGAAGAAAAGCATGCCGTGGGAATGTAGCGTTAGCAGATGAAGGTAAGCAGGATTTATTTTCTACATCTAATGCATTACATCAACCCCATTCTCAAACAAGAATACTAGTATTGGTTTACTTCTATTCAAACGATGAAATGGTTTTTAATGCAAAGAAAGTCAAGGGAAAGTCAGAGCATTGCAGAGCTTAACGTTGAAGCTATGATAGTATGTGTGTGTGTGTGTGTGTGTGTGTGTGAGAGAGAGAGAGAGAGAGAGAGAGAGGTGTACGAATTATGATATCCTACATTGCTCTCCGCAAGAAGAAGAAACATTGCAACTAGGCAGAACATAAAGCAGCTTAGGTTTCTGGCCATTCCTCAGGATTGCACTCTTTCACAAACAGAGAAAAGTTATTTGAAGTGTGGTCTTCAAAGTACAATTGAATAGCGTACTTATAGCCACTTGGGTAGCCCTTTTGCACAATTTAGATAAATGTTTTAACAAATTTTTAGAAGAAAAGATATATTAATTTTTATAAATTCAAATTAACTAATGAACCTCTTTTATATATATAAAAGCTCTTTTAACATATTTCTCTAAAAGTTAAAATACATAATTTAATTTTAACTTCTAATTTTTAATAAATATTTATGGAAATTTTAACTTGAAATGCGACGCCATTTAGCAATCGATTGAGATAGCAAAGATAGGGCCATTTTTCATTATGAACATTGCAGAATCTACACAATCATATATTCTTGTCTATTGAATTGGTCTATCTGACCCGTCTTTTACTGTGACCAGACATGTTTTTTTATGGCAGTGACTGGACATTATTAGTGAAACGTTCGTGCTTCCTGTCTGAAGAATTAAGCAATGAAATTTTAGACATAAATGCTATACATAGTTGTTTAAGCCTTTATATGAGAATTAATCTTTCACAAAAGATGCTATTCTTGTAATTGTAGTGCCATTTTTATTTTTACCTAATTTGAAGCATCAAGAAATGATTCAAGTTGTTCCAAAGAAAAAGAAACATAAAATGATTTTATGTGTTAAAAATAGGGAATGATAAAGTTGGTTCATGTGAATGATGGAGCGAAAAACCAGATAGCAGTCTCACATGTGCAATCACATGCAGCTTGGGAATGGCTTGTGAGAGTAACTAACAAATAGAAAGCGATGGAAGAACAAAGAAACACCATACATTAACTTCTCAGCAATGCGTTACCTTGTCTTTTGTTGAAAAGAGGAGTGTGAGAGTCCTTCTGATTAGTCAATACTGAATAGCATTCCCGTGAACTGATTATTGCAATTCTTCTTTTGTTTCTTATTCTATTCATTATATTGGTTGGTTCATAGTCTCATGTCAGAGCATTTATCAAAACCATATAATTCTCTGTACTTTAACTAATTAAGCACATTCTATCGTTGTTCCATTTTGTTGTATCTTTTGTTATAGGCCAGTTTTATTTTATGTGCTGCTTAATAACAACAAAACACGGTGATTAACTAGTCATGCTGTTAATTGTCACCACTACACTTCCTACTGCAATTTTAGGCCATTCCATTGGTTCGTATTTTCTATTTCGTATTATATTTGCATAGAACACGTGTAAACGCTAGGTATTCTGTTGGATGGTTCTCGTGAACTAGCATTTGTTTTTATTGGGCAGTGTTTGGAGCATTAAACCGAAAGATCCGATTTGTTTGGGTAGCATTAGAATTTCAACGAGCATTACAAGAAATGCATCACTTGTCATCGCTTCATTTGCAGCATTTAGTAATAATAGTTACTAAAATATTTTAAAAATAATATTTAAATTAATTACTAAAATACAGGATTTAACATTAGTTGTGTGCAACAGTCACAAAAAATATGAAATTTAATAGTAATTTTATATAATTACTAAAAAATGTGAAATTTAACGTCAATTTAAGATAACAGAATATAAAAATATCTTCTCCTCTTATATCTTTTCATTTTTCATCTCCCACTTAAAGTTATCATTTATCTTCATTTTGGTTTTATTGAATTTCATCTTCTTCTCTGTCACTACTGTCATCATTGTCAAAATATCTTCTTCTATAGTGATAATTTTTTATTATTTTTTTTATTTTCTTCAACGATTCTACACTCTAAATTATATAATATATATGTTATGATGTTAAAAAAATAAATAAAATATGAACACAAATAACAAAAAACAGAATTCAGTAAAAAATAAAAACACAACAAAGTATAGAAGTAAAAAACAAAGCACTGCAGCTAAAAACAAAATACTACCTATACAGTTTGAAATTTAAATTTTAAATTTACGTTACCAATTTTAATGTCAATTTTATAACTGTAAGAAACATATTTAGAGGCGTTAATCATTAAATTTAATCACTATGAATGAGCGTCCAAAAAGAGCAGTAAAAGGAAAATTGAGTGCAGCAAAAACAATGTCTGTTAAGTTTGCGAGAAGAATTGAAAGATTGTGGATGAGGAAATGAAGGGGAAATAGGACAAGGGGCGTCCATTTATTTAGTGCATATTATGTCGTATTAGGCTCATACCCGTGATGACTGAATTGGATGTATATATTCAGATTCCTTGTTTAAATAATTAAAAATTAATAATATATAACATTGCATTTGAGAATTCATTTTATGAAATGTTGATGAGATAATCACATCTCGTAAAAGTTTTCAGTATATTATTATTTATCTCTTCCATTACAAAAATAGAAAAATTAATATGAATTCAGTATATTTAAAATTTGATTTAGTTTATTTTAAATATAAGAACTAAAATTCGAATCCAACCATATTAAAATGCAATTTTTTAAATCATTGATTTTTTTTCAATTTTTTTAGATTGATTTAGCATATCAAGCGCAGTTTTGATTGATTATCCAATATTACTAATTAGATACCCTCCAATTATGAAAAAAATCCATCTGAAATCAAACATGCCCTGGTATTTTATTTTTTTAAATGGATGATTTTTTATTTTAAAATAAATAAATTTTTCTATTTTCAATAATGTGATTATTTTTTTCAAGTTATAATTTTTATTTTTAAAAACATCTTTTATACAAATTAAGAGGTCGATAAATTTAACATAAATACTTACATTACTCAAATAAAAAATTGTATATATAAAATATAAATATTTATGTCACGAAAAATAGTTAATTACATCACATATAATAATTATTTTATAAAATTAGTATTAAAATATATTAATTGATAAAATAAATTACAAAATTTATTAATTTTTTATATTTTTAATTGAAAATTTTTATTTTTTATTTTTTATTTTTTATTTTTTATTTTTTATTTTTTATGTTGTTGAATCAAACTAATATAATTTAATTATTGCATGATTAACATGAAAATGATTTTTTAAAAATATCTTAAAAGTGCATTTATATATGAAAATATAAAAAAATGTTTCACACAAATATTTTTTAAATAAAATATATTAATATCTATATCATAAAGTAAATATTAAATAATAGATATATTTTAAATATTTTATGAATTTTATAATCAACTACTATTATATTTATTCAATGGACAATTTTTTTATTTTTGAGTAATTTTATTATATTTTTTAACTTATAAATTATATATTAACACTGTAGTTTGCTGTGTAATTTACAGGAAAAAAATCATATGATAATTCTATAAATTAATTTTCAAAATTTACAGAATAAAAAACTATTTTAAAAATAAATTCATGTTATATAAATTTTAAAATAATGTGATTTTACGTAAATTCTTATAATTCATATAAAACATGATGGTAACTAAATTTATCATTAACATTGTAGCGTGTCACATAAATAAAATATATTTTTTAAAATTAACTTTGAATATTTATTTTTAAAATAAGTTCACATTATATGAAAATTTAAAGTAACATAACTATATATAAATCCTTATAATTCATACATTTTAAACTAATTATATCATACAAAAATATTTGTCAAACATAGAATTTATTTTATTTTTATCTTTAAAAAAAATTCAAATTGTCAAAATTCATATGTCATAAAACATAGAATCGACAACGACTGATTTTTAAATTCTATATGATAATGTCATATAAGAACTCAATGATTAGTATAAAATTTTTTGTTAAATTTTCATATTTAATATGAATACTTTAACAAATATTTCTAAAAAATTAATATTTTCAAGAATATTTTTTAAAATTAATTTTTTAAGAAAACATTATCGTAATAAAGTTAAAAAATTAAGATTTCTATAAAAATGAAAAGTATTTAACAATATAAAAAAATAATTATATTCTTTAATCTACTCAAATCTAAATCCAATTTATGTTATCTTCCGATCTTATCATCGTGAATTTAAAACTTATGTTATTAATTTACTATTACAATAAAAAATTATTTCAAGTCATCGTAACTGAAATTTTGTAACAATGGCCTTATTTAAACTAAACAAGATATCAAACAATTTTTTGAAAATGTTATATAATATTTTAAAAATATATAAGACACACTAAATGGAGTTTTGACATCTTTAAAAAAAACATTATATTTATAAACGAAAATAACAAAATTGTACACCAAACATCTCCTTGATGCCAATAAAATTTGATTCGATTGATAAAAATTAATATTGAATTTGTATTCTACATATACACAAGTTTAAAATTCAGTTGAATTCGATAAAAAAAAATTGAGCTCAAATTAAAATAGTTTGATATTCCAATGCATGCGTTATTCGAAAGAAACAAATGCGAGTCTCTTCCAATTGACCTTCGTTTTGGTTCCCAATCAAATCCTCTAACTTTCATTCATTCCTTAAATAAATATAATAATAACTCTAATTTCAACCGAACTAATCAAATCTCCAATTAATTCAATTTCCTCAAATAAGTAAATCATAAATTCAAATTCCAAAGCTAAGCTTCAAAATTATTAGTTTATCCTTTATTATCAAAGCATGAGATTGAAGAAAAGGATTCAATTAACTTAGACATTTAGTAATAAATTTTTAGTTTAGTTACCTTTTTAATCCCTTTAATTTACAGTGTGGGTAATCTTATAGTCTTTTAAATTCTCTTTAGCTAATTAAATCCCTTTCTTTTTAAATTTATACAAGCTTCATCTTCCTATTGATCTTTTTTGTAACTTAGAACGTTCAAAATTATTAGCAGTGTAGATCTATAAACTGGTAGATGAATGTCAAATGATTGTTTAACATTTAATTCAAAACTACTACCAGGAATAGACACAAGATTCTTAGACCAACCGTTTGATTATAAGATTTGATTCATGACTTGTGACATATGATATATAAAATCACTCATCTCTAAATGGATTATTTAGGTTGATTGTTAGTTAATTGTATTTCTTTAACATTAATTTTTCAATATTTCAACCTCCAAAATCTATTTCCCAAAAGTACAGTTACGTGATTGAAACATTGAAGATCCTCAATTATTAGAGAGATGAGTTGATTTATCCCACACACTTCAGCTAATTAGAGCTTGAATTTGAATTTAGCCACACTAATATTGGTTCCAATAGCAGCAAACAAGGACAACTAAGTCTAGATAAGTAGGACACAATAGCTAGGCCAAAGCATACAACGACACATCGCACCTCATGGGGCCATTCTAACGTGTATATCGACAATCATGGGATAGGAGCCTAAATTTCAATCATATATTTGTCAATAGGATGAGTATATGATGTTCTGTTTAAGAAAGGGACCACCTGTGCTCTAATTAAAGGTAATTAGATGAATAATTATTTTGATAATTGGTTGAAAAGCATTATTTATCATAGAAAAATAATAAAGTATATTTATTTATACTTGTTCAATTCATTTTTTGCAAACTTATTTCCCATATTTAGGAACTAATGTGGTACCCATCAACACAAATCTAATACTCAGCTTGTTTGTACAAATACTGATCAATAATGGTTATCTCCTCAATTTATATCCATTGTTGTTCATCTATAGTACTATTACTACATTATTTTGGTCAAAATAACAATTGGTCCAGATAAAAAAATTGACCTAACAAATTATTAAACAATAAAGAAGAAAAAGAGAAAGAACCACATGTGACAACAAGCTCCATGATTTTGACCTTGGCATTGGCAAGAAAATTTGCACCATATAAAATCAAAACTATTTGCCTTTGTCATAACATCTATTAGGTTATTTTTTGTGAGAATATTTTTTTTATTTTTAGACTTTCTTTTTCTATTACTTTTTGAACAAAATGAAATTGAGACAAAAGATTAGATTTCTTGCAATGTGCAAAATACTCGGAGCGACATCACAATTCACAATAATCTTCTATTACCCATGTTCAAGTTCTTCCAACCTTTGGATTCAGATAGTTTTATTGACTATTTAGGTAATTGTTATGTAATCAATTTCTATAATAAATAGAGTTACAACAATTTGCAATTTAGATAACCAACTTATTGACATCGATCAATATATTTTCTGACAACAAAATCTAATCCTCTAAAGCATAAAACAAAATATGAAGTTTCTTTAATATATATTAGGATGTGTTTAACAACATTCCAATACTCTCCATTAGGATCTGTCGTAAATCAACAAACGAATCCAAATGCTTGAGCAATATATACTTTTGTGCATATCATTACATATATAAAGCTTCATACTGCTAATGTATATGGTATGCAAGATATTTCCATCTCAGTTCATTGCTAGAACATATTTTAGGATATTTATAATTGACAAAAAGTGGGATAAAAATTAGCTTACATGTTAAAATGTCATAAGACTTTCAATAAATAAATTTTCTAAAAAGTGAAATCTTCCCATGTTTTATGTCTCGTTAAATTTGCATTCCTACAATTTTAAAATTAAACTTTTGAATAAAAAAAATAGTGTAAAACAAATAAGGCCACAATACGTAAGTGTGACTTAATCTGGAGCAACAAGAAACCTCTGTTCAAGAAATTATTCTTGCCATTGACCCAAAAAGAAAATCTGGCCTTGGACCAGAACAAAAGGAACCCAGTTGGCCCATGGGTTTTGTAAACCAGTTGACAAACACACGAAAAACAAAAACGAAATTTGTTTTATTATTTTAAACCCTAAAATTCAATATTATACATAACATTTTTTCGTTTACTCATATATATATACACACACACACTCAAAAAATAAGGATAATTATCTATGAAAAATGTAAAGTAAAAATGGTTAATTGTAATCTTTTTCTTTTCGGTTTAAATTCTATGTAATTTTGCTCTTTCAAAAACTTTTTGAGCCATTTAAGTCTTTTTACTTTTAAAATTTAACAATTTTTGTCCGCTTTTAAATTTTTCTACCTAAACTTTCTTAATTTATCATGTTTACTTAAATTATTATAAATTAAATCAATTTGATTGTCTTCTACACAAAATTACCTGACTGAAATATCAAATCAAACTCAAAATGTAAAAGAAAAAACTATTTTGAATATTGATCTCACAGTTAAATATTTACATTTTGCATTTTGTATGACTACCACTTTACTCCTTATCAATCATTAGTATGATTAATTTAATTTAACTCTTCTAAACCAAATACACGTGTAAAGTGTTTAATTTAAATGTTTTATAAAAATATAACTAATTTTAAGTTAATAATAAATAAGTCTCAGTCTACAGTTTATGCTCCCTTCAGAAGAGTTTAATCTATTTAATATAACAAATAAAATTTGTTTCTATTAGTATAAACAAAATTACATTAATAAAACAAAAATTGCTCTTTAAAGTGGCTTGTATCCCGAAAGAATTTTATACTTACAACATTTTTCTTAGTTTGCTTTGTCACGTATATATTGACAAATCCAGTAAAAGATTTTAAGATATTTTTCCAATTGAAATTGTTGAAGTAACTCAAAAGGCAAAGGAACTATAGTATTTATATAATATATTCTATAACATATTATTTTTGTTTTACAATTATATGTATATATAGTAGTTTTCTGAAAGGAAAATGGAAAGGACTTGAAGAAGGGTAATAAAAACGTGTCATGTGCAAAGGGAAGCTGAGTTGATCTTGCAACATATAACCGAACTGACGTGGCACTCAGAAACCATGCAAAAGAGAAACACAGTACACGTGGCACCTTCCACTACACTAACCCACTGCATCACTCCCTCTATAAACCGCTTGCAATGATTCTATCGCTTCAACAACGCGTTTTAAGAAACCCCAAAACGACACAGTATTAGCAAGAAAGATTCTACACTCTCCAACCTTAATGGAAACTCCTCCATGGGAAGCACTTATTCTCGTAGCTAACTACCTTGACCCCAAAACACTGGCCATAGCTTCATGCGTGTCAAAGTCATGGTTCTCTTCAATGTCCTCTGATCATCTTTGGAAACCCATCTTAGCCACCCATTTTCCCTCTCTCTTCACTCTTCCACCCTCCGCCGCCGCCGCCGCCTCCTTCCGCCGCCTCTTTGCAATAGGCCACGCCGCAGCCACGCGCCGCCACATGAAGCCTTCAAAGCCCAAACTCTCGCTCAACGACCTCGTCTTTGCCATTTCCATTTCCCACCGAAACTCCCGCGTAGTTTCCACGGCAAGCGATTGTGACGCGCTTGCAGTGGATTACCCCGGCGTGTTCCGGTTCGGGGTTGGCTTTGACGACCCCGTTTTGAGCGAGGGTTTGGAGGAGGTGAGGGTTGCGTGGAACGTGGTGTTGAAAGGGTGGAGAGGGGTTTTCACCATGATGGAGTGTGAGGGGAAGGTGGAATTTGTGGCCGGCGGTGAGGGGTGGTTCTCACAGGAGCTTCCGGCGCCGGGGTGTTGCTCGAATGCGGTGGCGAGTGCGGTGGTGGCGGATTTGAAGATAGGGATGTGCGGTAGCGGTGAAGGGAGTAGGAAGGTGAGGGTGGAGAAGGTGAGTGTGGGAATTTTGAGTGTTGTGGATTGGAGGTATGTTAGCGTTGAAGATGGTCTTAGGTACTTGGAACATTTTCTTCTCACCTGCGGTTCATAAAGTTTAAATATATAAAACAATAAATTCCTTTTTGTCTCCTATTTATTTGTGGAGAAGGTTATATTTATATGATTTTATTTTTGTCTCCTATAAATTTGATAGCATTTACACGATGTACATTGCTTTGTGATATTTGAAACTACTAAAAATAATTTATTTATTTTTTTCTTGACAAGGAAAATGTTTTAAAAGTGTACTCTTTATTTTTCATAATAATATTTTCACATTCACACTCTTTAAAAAAAAAAAAAGTAGGTAGATAAGTATGTTCAAAACAATATATTTATAAAGAAACACTTTTAAGCTAGAACTATTATCAATATTATTTTGAGAGATTAATCATTGACATTTAGAATAAGATTTTAATTTTAATTACAAAATATTTATGGTATTACTTTTAAAATCATGGTTTGTCTACTGTAGTGTCCATTGAGAAAGCTTTTTAAAAGAAGGATGTGAAAGAATAGATATATTGATTTCGAAACTGTTACAAATAGGAAGTAGATGACTTCCTTCTTTTATTAAAAAAAATTATCACATTGGTAATGAAATTTTGATAACTAAAATCTTGTCACTTTAAAGATATATAAATATTAATATATTATTTTTTATATAAATTAGTGACGTTTTATTTTTTAAAAGAATGAAAATATGCGAGTGTGTCAAAAAATCTAATTCGTATATAATTAATTAAAAATTACTATATTTATAATAGTTATTTTTACAGTTATGTTTACAATATTTTTTAAATAATTGATTATACAAAAATTTATATTGAAACACTTATAAAATATAATAAAAATATTCATTTTTAAAATTCGTAATTATATAACAATTTTTTATAGAGCATGATTTATTATTGAAAAGTGTTATGTATTTAGTTTATTGATTGTATACAATAATTTAAATTATATATTAAATTAGTTATTTCTATCATATTTTTTAAAGATAATAATGAATATAATCAATAATAATTTAAAAATTAATACTATAATTTAATTTAAGAAAGTATGTTTGACTAATTTTTAATAATATAAAATTATGGTTGGGGAAAAATATTTTGAAAATATAAGCTTTTAGGGAAATAAAATAATTTACACAGGATATAAGAAAAAAAGGATTAGTTTTTTTTTTCTGGGTCTCTTTAACTTTTAAAAAAATTTCATTTGTAGTTGGAAAAATTCAAAGAAAAAACAAATAGAAGTACTGATAGAGAATAGATTAAAAAAATAGAAAAAAAGGTGAAATCTAGAAAAAGAAAATCAAAACTGTGAAAAGAGATACAAGTGAAATAGAAAAGGAAAAAAATTATAAAATAAGTAGAAAAGTAAATCTTGTTTTAGTAGCACAATAAGACCCTCTTTGTTTTTGGTAAAATCTCTCTTTCAATTTTTTTACTTTATTTCATAGGGTAATTTGGTTGAATAGGCTATTTTTAAAGAATTATTTCTAGTATAGGTTCAAAAATAAATTTTCTGTGGCACTAATATCTGCTGGGAGTACTAACATTTTAACTTTTTTTTTTAATGTATAAATTGTCTTTAGATGTTTACACATGTCATCAGTTGGTACTGACATTATTACGAAGTAGATATATGTTGTCTAGTGTCCATTGGACTATACTTAAGTACACTCTTTTATTGTAAACACTCTATTTAACTCTATTAATTATAATTTATTTTTATTTTTATTTTTATTTGATATATTTATTGTAAATTTTATTATTTTATTTGTTAGAAATAAAATTATTTAATTATAATTAAATATTTATGTTGATAATTTTTAATTATGAACAATTCATATAAATAATTATTATTTAAGAATTAAGTTATCCTTATTTTATTATAAGGAAAAATTATGTTATTTTATATGTTATATTTATTTTAATAATAAATAATTTTTTATATGAAATAAAATTTATTATTTGTTGGTCGAATATTTGATGTGTGAATAAAAAAATCATTTAATAATAACTTAAAAAAGTAATGGTTGCAAATAGTATTACAATATTTGTAATATTTTAATAAAAAGTAGTAAATCTTTTAATTAGGTTATAATTTATTATATTAAAAATTTTGGAATGATATTTATACAGTGTAATTTTTGTATTATTAGTAATTAATTTATTAATAATCATTTAAAATATATATTTATTTTATTATTTTAATTTTACATTTACAATTAAAAAATTTATTTTAGTTAATGGTATTATAGAATAATACATATTTTATCAGCAAAAATTTTGTTTATTAATTTATTTATTTTTGTCTTCAAACTTTTTTTTATATTAATTTTTTCTATTATAGTATAATGTGGAGTGATAGTAACATTATTTATTTAATTTAATCTGAAATTTTTAATTTAAAAAATAGTAAAGTAATGTTAAGTGTAACTAGAAAGGTAGTGGTACAAACTAGATTAGTACTTTGACAGTGAAACTAGCAACTATGTTACACACGAATCAAATCAGTTTCATGAAACAAATAATCACACTAAGACAAACTTTTTAAATTCATACTTATGAAAATGTTATTCTTGATATTTAGTATAATTCTTTAAAAATTACAAATATTTTTTATAGATCATAAAGAATCTTCTAAGCATTTTTAGACTCATAATAATTAAATATATTAAGGATTTATCTATTATAGTAAATAATAAAAATATTATTCATAAAAGTTTCATTATACTATTACAAAATAATACGATAAAAAGTGAAAGTGATAAAAATAATAATGTTAAGATAAATAAGTAGTTGCATGAGAAAAGATAAAATAAAAAATATCAACAAGCGTGATAATATTAAAGTAGTAAAGGTAATTTTGGTCATATGCAAAGAAAATGAGAGGTAAATAATTTGTATGAATTTTAAATTTATTAAAAAAAGTGAAACTCAAAAAGATTTTAGAAGAATTTATTATTAATTAAGTTTAATGATATTGTATAATTTATATATTTTACCTCACTGAGATAAAGTTTGATTGCTATTGACATTATTTCGTTAAAGCACAAAATGATAAAACATGTCTTACTTTAAGAGCACGTTAAAGATGTACTTCATAAATTATAAAAAATATTGAACTTGTTAAGTTTTCACTAAAAAAATTTAGTTTCAAAATGTGGACATTTTAATAATAGGATTTTAACTAAAGTTTTAAAGAATAGTAAGATAAAACTTTGTACAAGATAATTTAGATTTATGTGAAGCTTGTCAATATAAAAATAAAAGACTTTCAAAATCTTTTAATCTTTTAGATTCAATTGTTTGGCAACTGCAACAATAAATTTATGTTTGATTTTAAGTGTTATGTTCAGATACGAAGCATGCCTTTGTTTGAATTAAAAACTTTGAGAAAATTAGTATTAAAAAATTAAAATATTTTGTGTGATGGGAAAGGAATGTTTAGAGCCTTAAATAATATTTTACAAGATTCTAAGATTAAGTTGAGACAATTGTGCCATTATACAAATGAAGAAAAACATAGTTACCCAACTGAACTACATAAAAAATGCCACTTATTATTGTTGGGAATCATTTTCAACTGTTGTTATTCTAACAAAGAGGTTGTCAACACATGTTTAATAACAAATCTCATTATTTTTTGCACAGTTAGCTACCAAAGTATTGTTTGAAACCTTACCATTAACATAAATTATAGTTCTACGCTAAAAGGTGTGTCTTTCTTAGGTAAAGTGGATTGCATAAAGGGTACAAATACTTAAGTCTTCTTGGTAAAAATTTTATCTTTAAGGCATGTAATTTTTAATGAACAATATTTTTCTTCTATAATTAAATAGAAATAAAGGTAAACGAAATTATAAATATTATTATCTCTTTCAATTCACTAACCACTGCATGAACCAAAAAAACCTTGAGTACACATATTCAACCTATCATTGATGTCACAACCACAATCACTTAGAACCACACACAAGAGTCACAAATTTAAGTCACAAAATGCAATGTATATTAATTCAAATTACTAGAAAATATATTTTCATTACTTAATCTACTGTCATTAAATTATAGATTTTGGGTGAATATATAAATATTTTGAATATTAAATTTTGAGTATTCGTAAGCATTTTTTATTTATATAATATTAAAAACTTATAAAAGTATGCTTCTTCTTTTTTATACTTATCATTGTTAAATATAATTTTATTTTAAATAATATTTATACTGCACAAATATATTTATGTAAATTAGCATTTAATTTTTTTAATATATGTCTAAAAGCAAATAATAAATAACTAATGAATAATATTTTTTAATTAAAAGATATAATATTTATGTTGTTAATAAAATTTAATTATAAATGGATTTTTATTATGTATTCTTAAATACATATTAAAAATTAATTAAAATTTAAAATTAATTTTAATTATCGATAAATTATTTTAAATTCTAGAATTATCATTACAATGTTTTGAAAAGTTTTACCTTTAATTTTACATTGAACTTATTTTAATTTTTTGTAACACACATACACAAACCCTAAACCCAATAATATTTTTTATTAAAAGATATAATATTTATGTTGTTAATAAAATTTTATTATAGATAGATTTTTTTATGTATCCTTAAATACATATTAAAAAAATTAAATTAAATTTTACATGAAAACAATCCATTTATATTTATGACAAGAATTTAACAAATAAGTCAAATATGTGCATCACTTACTAATAATCCCACCGGGTAGTAAATCTAGCCAATACAGCATTATATAAAGTAATGTTCTAATGGAGCTTAAATGTTGGAATTATTTAGTAATGTATACGTACATTGCCACTGTGTCCTGTGGCTGAAGCTTAATCCACTTGTCTTATTTTGCAGCGCACCCAAAATTCTTAACGGATTTCACTTTCAAGATAAGGCAACGAAGGGAACAACCAAGTCTCGGTTCCATTTCGCTTCTGACACAAAGTCTTGGCCATTGCAGCATTGGCATAACGAGAGAACAAGGCTTTTCCACTGTTTGGTTCTCTGAACGATAATGGCCACTGTGCGGTCTGAAGCTGCTTGTGTAAGAACGGTTTATGATGTCGCGTCTTCTTTGACGAGGAAGAAGCCACATGCTCGGGTGCTTCAATGTTCTCTCAGAATTAGAGCTTCTCATTCCATGGCTAACAAGAAGGATATCTACAAACAAGTGGGTCTGTTCCAAAATGCTATCTTTTTTTATTCTTTCTTTTTGTTGTGTAAGAGCCTGTGCTAACTGCTTTTGTTCCATGATTCTGTTATTTTTTTGCCTGGACTTGGAATAAGTGTTATTAGTGGTTCAATTTGGTGTTTGCTATGTTGGGTGTGGCTTTTATTATTCATTTATTACTATATCTATGTCATTACCCTTTTGCTTTACAGGAGTGAAAATGGGAAGGTGGAAAATGGAGAAGTGAGATTTGAAGAGATATTTTTGGATACGGAACATATCTTTAAAAATAAGAAAAGTGTTAACCCTACCCTTTTTTGAAAGAGTAATTATTTATTATATTGAAAAATGGTATATTATTTTGTTGCTATTGATGTTCCGCCAATGTCACAAGTGGTGAGAGCTTCAAACTTGTAAGGTTCAATGTTTTTTTGTGTGTCTATTTCAACAAAATGTGAAGATAAGGTCCAATGAACATTGCCTAAGGGATAATGGCCCACTGGTCTGAATATTCTGGAAAAATGTCTCTGGTATTAAGTTAGTAATGGGAGTTGGGAGACCTCATATCATGAACTCTTTTCACTAAATAGTTCTGATATGTGATGTGACAGAAATAAAGGCATCTTTACCTTGGTTCAATGTTAAAATAAGTCACTGCATTAACTATTATATTATCTATAAACAGAATTACTTGTTAATGTAAATTTGTTTGAGGAATGTTGACGATATAGTTAGCATGTATACTTCATGCCGATTGTATCTTTGATCACAGGGGATCATGCATATCTTGTTTTCCCCTTTCTAAATTTGATGCTACCATAGAGGCTTTTATCATGAAGAAATATATGGTTGCTTTATTTTCTGTGTCTTCCTCCCTCTAAATTTGACGGCCTGAACAAACCCTCAGAGCAAAATGTAATTGGATTGAAGATTCTTGATATTATACTCTTCTCCAAATCTAATGAGTTAGAAGTAAAGTCATTGTCAAATAATGACTCTGTGATAGTATAGTTGTAGATAAGTACTGCTTTTATTTTGCTTACTATTTCTGACAACCATTCAAATATGACCAGGTTTATTTTCTCTAAGAAAGAAAATTGAAGATGCAGTTCTTCGTGCTGAGATGTTTGCATCAACAGCCTTGGAAACAGAACAAGCAACATGGATTAAACAGGAAGAATTGGTACGCGATTTTGATTTGTGGGATGATCCAGCTAAGTCCAATGATGTTCTTGTCAAGTTGGCTAACAGTGCCAAAGTGGTTGATTCTCTTAAGGACTTGAAATACAAGGTGATGTTCTGCTCCTATCAGTTTCACCTCAATTTTGACTCCATTACTTGCCTTTTGTTCTATATAAAATTTGATTGGTATGATCATTGTGTTGGCCACTAAACTAATGGTGTATGGAGACTTGGGTACAATGACAGAAAAACAAAATGAAATTACAACGAGGAAAGAAGTGAACATAAAACATTTCTCTGTGTGAGATAATTATAATTATAATAGTTAGTTAGATAGCTATTCCATAAAGCTCAGAGATAGCCTTGATGTTAAACTAAGAAAAGGTTTGGCCAAAAACTCTGTCCTCTCCTCATTTATTCAGATTGCTCATATAAATACACTTAAATTATAAGCTGTCGCGTTGATTTCAGCTCAATAAATCAGCTAAACTATCATATATACATTTACAGCTAATTATCATAAATAAAACAATAACTGTTACAAATAATTATGCAATCAATCCCATACAATCCTCTTTTCCATTAATCATTAATTCTATTGACATCCCCCTTCAAATTGATGTTGGTAAATCTACAAGCATCAATTTGCCAAGTAAAAAATTGTGTCACTGACGTGTCAAGGATTTAGTGAAAATGTCAGCTATTTGAACAGATGTTGAGACGTGGTAGATTGATGACTCTTCAATCATAGGCTTCTCGAATAGAGTGGCAATCAACCTCGATGTGTTTCGTCCGTTCATGGTAAACTGGGTTTGCTACAATTTGTATGGTACTGGTGTTGTTAGCATGCAACAGAGTTGGTTGTTTTTGAGAGAATCCAAGCTCTGTAAGAAGACCACAGCCATATGATTTTAGAGCAAGCGGCAGACATTGCACGATATTCTACTTCAGTAGATGACTTTGAGAATGAATCTTGTTTCTTATATTTCCATGAATAGGAGCATTCCTTAGGAACATACACCAACCGGTAGTAGATTTTCTTGTGTCTGGACATCCAGCCCAATCAACATCACTATATGCTTGGAGTTTCATTGATGAACCAGTAGGAAAAAAATAAACCACGCTTTAGGGTGCCAAGGAGGTATCTAATGATTCGTTGTAGTGCTGAAAGATGAAAATGCTGTGGAGATTGCATGAACTTACTTGCTGTGGACAGCAAAAGAAATATCGGGGCGAGTGATAGTTACATAGATGAGACTGCCCACCAGCTTGCGATATTGAGTGGGATCATCCAGAAGTTCACCTTCATCTCGTCTATATTTAACATTAACTTCCATAGGAGTGTCAACAAGGGTTGTATTTGTTAGTCCAGCTAGCTGGATCAAGTCTTGAATATACTTTTGTTGATTTAGAAAAATGCCTTCATGATGATAGTGCAACTCTAAACCGAAAAAGTAAGTGAGTTGGCCTAACTCTTTCATATGAAAAGTTGAATGCAATAGGTGTTTGATTCTAGAAATAGCATCTTGATCGGAACCAGTCACCACAATGTCATCCACATAAACAAGAAGCACCACGATGCCTTGAGGAGTCCTTTGTAGGAAAAGAGATGGATCATACTGACTTTGAGTGAATTCAAAACCAAGTAATGTCGATCGAAACTTTTCAAACCATACTCTTGGTAATCCATATAAAGATCGTTTTAGTGTGCAAACAGTATTAGGTGAAGGTGTAGGCATACCATTAGGAAGTTTGATGTAAACTTCCTCCTAAAGATCACTGTGAAGGAATGCGTTTTTGACATTCATTTGATGTAGCAGCCAAGATTGTGATGCAGCAAGAGCAAGAATAATGCGCACGGTTGTCATCTTGGCGACCGGGGCAAATGTCTTATCATAGTCTAGTCCATACTCTTGCTTGTTTCCAAGCACAACCAAACGAGCCTTGTAACGATCTATGGATCCATCTGAACGCAACTTTATAGAGCACACAAACTTTCTTCCCAAAGATTTAATAGATGATGGACATGGCATTATGTCCCATGTTTGATTTTCTTCCAAGGCGAGAAGTTTAGTTTCAATAGCTTTCTACCAACATTCATGCTCTATGGCCTTTTTATAAGAGGAAGGAATAGGAATAGAAGATAATGATACTGTCATGGAAGTGATATACCTTTCTGGGGGCTTACTAACACGTGAATTGCGTCGTAGAGGAGCTAATTCTGGTTCTTCTACTGGACCAGCAGCCGAGGAATCATCTTGAGGGGGCCATGAGATTGGATTGTTTGATTATGGGTGATAGTATTACGTCTTTTGTAGGTCAAGAGAGGTTTAGAAGATTGTTGACCTACATGAAAGTTAGAAAACAATGGCAAAACAGAAATTGAAGAAGAGACAGGATCATGATGTGATGTGAAAAAATATATATTTTTTTGGAAGATGACATTTCTAGATACCTGAATTCTACGAAAGTTACGATCATAACATAAAAAGTCCTTTTGATGAGGAGAATATCCAAGAAAAGTACATTCAACAGATTGTGCAGTAAGTTTGGTGCATTCTTGTGGAAGAAGATGGACATAACATAAACAACCGGAGATACGAAGAGTGGAGTAATTTGGTGGGTGACCATATAATCGAGTGAAAGGAGATTCCTTACCTAATGATGAAGATGGTATTCTGTTTATAAGATGGATTGCGGTGGAAAGAGCTTCACACAAAAAACGTGAAGGCACATTGGTCTCCAACAAAAGGTTGCAAACAACATCAAGCAAATGGCGATTTTTTCTTTCCGCTATCCCATTTTGTTGTAGAGTTGAGGGGTATGCCATTTGGATTTCAAAAATTTCTGAAATAAGTGTGACATGTATTCCCCCCATTATCAGAGCGAAGTATTTTTATTTTTGATGAAAATTGGGTCTGAACATAAGCATGAAAAATTTTGAAAGTGGAAAAGACTTCATCTTTTAATCGCAAGAAATAGACCGAGGTGAAACGACTATAATCGTCAATAAAAGTTACAAAATATTTGTAATTAGCATGAGATATAACCGGTGCCACCTCCCAAACATCATTATGGATAATATCAAAAGGTTGTGTTGTATTAGACTGATGGGTTGGAAAAGACAGAATTTTACTTTTACCAAGCTTACAAGGAATACAATCAAAATGAACAATATTATGAGATGGAGTGTGTTTATTTCCAAGAAAACTAGATTTTAACAAGTAATGAAGTACATTTATGTTTGGATGTCCAAGACGCTTATGCCACAGCTGGTAATCAACAAGAGTAGAATTACAAGAAACTAAAGGCAAAGAAAGACTTGGAGGCAATGAGAAATGGATTGGGAAGAGACGTCCAACTTTAGGCCCATTCGCGATAATCTTCCTTGATTGTTGATCCTGCACAGGACAACCAGACTATGAGAATTGTACTTGGCAATCATTCTCGACTAATTGACCAATTGAAATTAGATTACTAGTGAGACCAGAAGAGACAAAAACATTTATGAGAGATGAAAAAATATCACCCGCGGCTGTGATAGGCAATTGATTTCCATCAGCAATATGTATCTTGAGATTTCCAAAGTATTTTTTCACATTAGTGAGAAATTGAACATTGTTGGTCATGTGGTTGGAAGCACCTGAATCAAAGTACCAAGATGAACCTTTGCTAACACCACTAAAAGCACATAATAAATGCCATGCTTACTTTATTTGTTTATTTTTCATCTTATTTGAAAAGAATGCAATGCCTTGTTTTATGTCCTGCAGGTGGAGGAAGCAAAGCTGATCAAGCAGTTGGCTGAGATGAATGCTATTGATTATGGGCTTTATAACCAAGCATACGAAGCATCTTTGGATGCAAGTGAGATTCTAGATCAATATGAGATGTCTAAGCTTCTTAAGGGACCATTTGATATGGCAGGAGCATGCTTGGTTATAAAAGCTGGACATAGTGGCATCCATCATAAGGTTTGATAATGTAATGTTTAAACTTCATTATATTGTGTTTGAACTATAACTTATGAATCTGGTTGCTGTATGATTTTTTGTGTTACTATTTTCAGTAAAACCTTAACCTTGACTATGATGGATGCATTCTAAAATTGATATTTTACTTTAGCAATTGTTTACAAAGAAGTGATTTTCATTGACAACTGAAATTTGTAACTTTCCATATTGTGTAGTGGTGCCAGCCATAAACTTCTACTCATTTATACAGAAATCAACTTCCAAATATAAATGTAGTATTTTTCACTTTAAAATATTAAACTTTTGGATTTTGAAGATTTAGCATTACTTCATTCTTGGAGTTTTACTCTTCCCTGAAGCAGGAATAACTAAACATGGTTTCCATTAGTTACACTTGGAGTTTTTAGCACATGCTCATCATATGTGAGCTTAATTTTTACAGAATTCTCTTCAAGTACTAGAAACTTATGAAAGGTACCAATTTTTTCTGTGTTATACATATTGTATAAACTTCATCTAGACTTGATAAAACTAAGTTACTGATTATCTGCTTTATGATTCAATGTTTTCTTGTTCTCAAACTATTTACGTAAATTTGTTTTGCTGTCCTTGGCCTTTTTCATAAATCAAGCTCTGGGCAGAACAGCTCCTAAGAATGTATGTTAGATGGGCCAAAAGACAAGGTTATGAAGGAAGGATTGTTGACAGGTGTCCATTCAAGCATGGAGGACTTATTTCAGCAACTATAGAATTTGAATTTGAGTGTGCTTATGGCTATCTTTCAGGGGAAAAAGGTTTTCACCACTTGATAAGAGGTTCTACAGATGAATGTGCTCAGCTTGAGGTATAAACATTTCCTTTGATCCTACCTAATAGTAAACTGATTTTTCTTTCCGGTGTACTGTTCTATTTGCATATGGAACTGTATTATGCAAAAATTCTTTTCGGTAAGAAGTGTCTTCTAATTCCTTATCTTTAGTTTTAATTATAATTTGACAACATAATGGTTCTATTTCCGTCACGTAACATTAATACACTATATTGATATCACTGTTAGTTTTTTTCTAAGTTCACGTGGACAGTACTGAGATAATCATAATTGTCCATGTGTACATCCAAAAAATTAGTGGAAATGATATTATATTATATTCATATACTATAACTGTATAGTATATTGTAGAAACAGCCTTTGTGTGCCATATAAAAATTCATGTTGAATTTTTATATTCGATGAAATATCGAGTAAAGTATTGTAATTTTGTCATCAATGAGTGGACTTGTATATTCTATCCTTTAGAAACTTCATCAATGTTTTTAGGCTTATGAACTAAGAATTGAAATTTGATGAAATAATTTTGTTTGCTAATTCAAAATTTCCAGGCTAGCTCAGCGATTGTAGATGTAATTCCCATGTTTCTTGAGAATGCTTGTGATCTAGAAATTGATTCCGATGATTTGATTATCTCATCTCCCTTGATTCAAGGAGAACAGAAGAGACAAACTGAGCTTACAGTTTGCATTCAGCATCGGCCTACCGGCATAAGTGTCCAATCCTCTGGTATGTGTATGTTTGTGTTGAGATGTTTGCTTCTGTGTTTTTCTAATTTCTTTAGTTTTTTTCCATTATATATTTAAGAACATGTGCCAGAATTCCTAATGAAATTGCAATGTCCCATATGATGTGCTACTGTTTCTTTTTTGGCCATTGATGATGTGCTAGTTTACTTGTAAGATTTCTAAATACACAGACATGTCATGTCATGCCCTTTGACCTTTTCTTTGTGTGTGAGTCTTCCACCTGAACATGGCATTAAAACCTTATCAAATTTAGTTCCACACCACATTCATGATCGAGGCTGATAGAGCTATGTGGTCTTATTGGTTGTGATTCTTTCTGATTCTGAATATAATGTGTAAAGCATTAGTTGTTGCGCTAATTTCCTGGGATGTAAGATTGTGTAAATCTGTTAATAATGTTTTTTTAGGAGATATTGGTAATAAAAAGCTCACCTTACGCAATGGTTTCTTGCTTACGATACTGTTTATAAGAGAAGCAGATATTGAAATAAATGGACTTAATCTTATGCTGAGTACTATCTAAGAAATAAATTTAGCTTGTAGTTACCTAAAATTGCTGGAAGAAGTTCTTCATTTTGGCCTTGATTAATTGACGCAGCATAACTCATACGTGGGATGGATTAGAATGCTCTTTGGCAAAAGCCTACCCTTGTCATTGGTTGCAACTTGAGAGAGACGATGGACATGCCTTCGTAGATGAAACTTTTAATGAGAAAGATTGTTAGTAGTATCTTTGGTGGTTCTTAGTGCACTATGAAATTATGATATCCAGTCACTTCACAGCAATATGCCCTGATCTGACACGGAAATCTCACTCTCTCTTCTTTCTCTCTGCTCTCCCTTTCCTTTTTGGTTGTGTTAAACAATGCCTATCACATTATGTAGACTTCAGGTTCTTCTTGAAGCTACTTTTCTATATTTTTTTCAACATTTAGACTGAGTCCTGGTCTTGATTAATCAATTTTACTAGTGGTGAAAGCTTAATAAAGTCAATTATGCTTCATGGGGACATGGCAATTGTGGCTTTTATAAATGTGAATAAAAGGAGACAAAAGAAGTTGGGCATAACTGACTCCGATCAGCATCTTATGTATTCTTGTAACATTTATTATCCTATGCAGAACCTTAGGATGTACCTTTAAATTTTGTTAGTTTAAAAGGGATTTAATGTTTTCTCCCATGAAGATAGTAATTGTTTCTCAAACTTTAGGTAATTCACTCCTAGTCATACCGTACCTTTGTACCATCATTTAACTAAAGGATTAGTTAATTTGAGGAAATGTTTTGTGTTTTTTTCACAAATTTTATTTTGTTTCTTGTTTTTAAATATTTCTATAAAAATTGGTGAAATTTTCCTCCTTTTGACTTTATTTCTTGTTTTTAATCGAAAATTACAATTTCCTATTTTTAAATATTTGTATAGGAAATAGTGAATTACCATTTATACAAATATTTGAAAACAAGAAATGAAGTCATAACTAGGTTTCATTTTTGTAATTATTTGTAAAATATGAAATGAAGACAAAATATTTCCTCAAACCAAATAGGTATTTTATTTGTAAAGCTTATATAAATCACAAATAATTAGTGAATCCAATTATTACATTTAATGAACATGAAAGAATTCATGTCACACTAAATTTTTCTTTATCCATTGATTATTAATGTTTAAATAAAAAGTAGAGATGCATAGTGTGACCTTGATCTCCACTTTGGAATGGCATTATCATACCATGATATATGCAGTTGTAAATTCTCGGTTTGCAGTTGTCTTGATTTCACACATGCAGAAGACCAGACATTGTATGTGGAAGAAGTTAATTTAAATTTTTGTTCATTCATCATTTTCTTTTGAACCACATCCCCCAACAATCATTCGACAGAACTAAACTACCTTGTCATTTTCTCTTCAGCATTTTTCCTGAAAAATTTGCCAAGCATAAAAATGGAAATTTTACTGAATTGCAGTTTTTTCTATTTTGTATTTATGAAGGTGAGAGAAGCCATTTTGCAAATAAGATTAAAGCATTAAACAGATTGAAAGCTAAACTTCAAGTGATAGGAAGGGAACAAGGAGTTGAAAGTATAAATAGTATAAGGAAGGAAAACATTGTCAATTTGTGGCAAGAAGCAACTAGAAGGTATGTATCTCATCCGTACAAGTTAGTACATGATGTAAAGACAGGTATTGAGGTGCCAGATCTAAATTATGTTTTGGATGGGAATATTGGATCCCTTATTGCAGCTCATATTAATACCAGAGTCATCTCATAAGGTTTGAATCCATGTTCCTTAGGCCACCTTGTTCTTATCCTGCTATTACTTAGCATAATAGACTTAGTATTTTCACTTTTTCAATCCTGAAAATTCTCAGGAATTACCTCAATTGATTTATTGGAGAGGAAAGAAATTTGAGTATCAATTCATCCATTTTGGCTTGTATTGACAGATTTTGTTGATGAGTTGAAGGTCAACAGCATTATATTCTAAACTATTTTTTCTTTGTTTATTACTTTATTGTGTTTGCTTTCTTTGTCCATATTCTATAATGTTGACGCCAAAACCATTTGGATATACCTTTGGCAATGCTCCACACTTGTAACCTTAGCCAAATTGTGAGTTTACTAATAGATATGTCATCGATCATGATCATTTAAATTTGATTTAGTTATAGCTCCTTGGATGCAATAATTGTTAATTGGTTCAATCAGTGCACAAAATGTTGTTGGTTATGAACTTGTTTGTTTAAAATTATTTCACAAAAAAGAGAAATTTTAAAAAAAAAAAATTCTGAACCCTTTTAGTTGTTTGGTTAAGATTAGGCTTAATTGTATTTTTGTTCCTTTGGCCTATGTGCTATTTTAGTCCTTTTTTTTTTAGTTAATTAAGTCCCTTAATGTTTAAAATTGTGCAAATTTGGTTCTTCCATTTATTTTATTTTACGTAAAACCTTCAGTTTATTATTTTCTGTCAAAATATTTGAGCAGTGTATGACAAATTTATCATATAAATAATTTTAAACATTTAAAAGTAAAGAAATTAGTAATATTTAACAAAAAATTTGATGATAGGATTGTTGTAGGGGAAAAAAGGTTTAAAACAATTTTAAATTGCTTTAATTTTTTAAGATTTTGAGTACAAAAATTAAAATTTGAGTTTGTTAGGTAGAAGGCAAAATCAGCAAAAGGACTAAATTTGCTTAATTTTATAAATGGGACTTAATTAACTGAAAAAAAAAATAAAGAAAACCAAAACCGGATATATGACAAATGAAATGGATTGCAAATGTAATTAAGCCTTAAGTTATGAAAAAAAATAAAAATAATTTAATTCTAACTTTTATGAGAAGCTATTTTAAAAAGCCTTTGTAAAAAAAAAAGTTAAAGTTACAACTACCCTTTAAAATAAATTTTTTTATAATTATAATCAAATAAAAATTAGCTTATACTTTTCATATATCTAAAAAAATTCACTTTTTATATATTCTTAAAATATTTTTTTTCCAAAAGTTGAAACAAAGACAAATTTAAACAGTCTTGCAGGTTTCCTTTGTGAGTGTAGAGTTCTTTAGTTTGGAGATTACTTATTTTCATTATTTTTTTTTGTTCTTCTAGAATTTAAAATTTATGAACATGTGTTTAATGCATTCTGAAAATTATATTTTAAAAATTATATATGATTTATTTTTTAAATTTAATTGTTAGAAAGTATAAAATTAAATTTTGAAAGCCATTGTAAAAAAATTCAAATTTTAATTTTTGAAATTTAAGAAAAAAAAAGGTGTAACTAAAAAAAAAAAAAAAGAGGTGGTGTAAATAACCATCTTTTTCAGTTTTCATAGCTGAATTTTCATTTGGACATGGAAATAGAAAAACAAAGTGAAGGAAAATGGGAGGTAAGAATAAACAACAAGGAAGTGAATGAACAAACATAGTGCAAATTTAGATTCATGTTTAAATCATTATGAATTCATATTTACTTTAATCTATTAATTATATTTTTTATGTATTTTTTTAATGTGTCTTCAAACACACGCTTAAAGGATGTTTTACCATGACAAATTACTAGAAATAGACAATTGAAAATAAGAGCATGTTGGCTTGTATCAAGGTCTACACTTCTTTTATACATTGATTGAGTTAGATTTGCGAGAAGTTAATTTTGTTTTTCTTAATTAAGTAATTAATTTCTAAAATTATTATCATTTTTTATTTTTATTTTATAAAAAATTATTTTATTTTAGTTCTTACATTTAACGACAAGACATATGATTTTAATCTCTTGCTAAGAACTAAAATTATGTGTTTTTTGTAATTTTAAGAATAAAAATTAAATAAATTTTTGTAAGGACTAAAACAAAAAATTATGATATTTTTAGGAATAAATTATTTTAGTAAGCTAAAAAATTATTCTTTAAAAATGGAGTTGAGGGTATTATACAAACATACAGTAAGATTCAATTGGAGAAGAAAGTTGACAGAAGAAAAAACAAGAAAAAAATTAAATTTTTAATTCATTTTAATTTTATATGTATAGAAAAAATATTTTTTGATTCAATTTTAATTCTATATTTATTTATTAATTTTGAAATTATATCTCTTTAATTTAGTTTTATTTAATATGATATTGTATTATTTTAAAATTGATTAAATTTTAAAAAAATATTTTAGTTTTATTTAAATTTTATTTGAATTTATAATATCATGCAAATGAAAAAAAAAACATTAATTTTATAATAAATTAGTAATGAATCAAGAATATTGCGTCATTGATAAATAAATATCAATCAATTAAAAACTAATAATAAAAATATATTAATTTAACAACATTACAATAATAAACCCTTATCTTATTCATTCCTCGCATGCTTTCTTTTGTTAAAAACCAATTTTCCTTTTCATTGAGCAACGGCTTTGGACTTAGCTCCATGTTCGCTGTGATCCAAGGAAATGAGTCTTTCTTCTAACATAACAATGCTATCAATCTTGCTTTAATTTCATTCACTAAGTATGACTTAGATTTGTGTGACTTCCCTTCATTGAAGACCCAACTAAAGTGGTGGTTAAAGCTCTCTTTTCTTTACTATATCATGATGATGGATGGAGATATGCTCCCAAAACAGCCTTAACTTAAAGATGGTTTAAAAATGTTTTTTTTTTCAAAAATTTGACTTAAATAGGTTTTTTGTTATTATAAAAGTTATTATATTTGAAATCAACCCTTAAAAAAAATTTGGTTACAATTTAGTCCTTAACAAATTAACTAAAAAGAATCCTTGCCATTAGTTTTCATTTAATAAGTACTAAGTTAAATAATGAAATTCTAACTCAAAATGTCATGCAGCATATCCATATCCAATCAACATATAATATTTTAAAATAAAGGGTTCATAAAACACTTTTAACTCCTATAAAAGTTGTTAATTTTAAATTTAATTCTTAAAAAGTGTTAAATTTTAACCCCTGACAAATTAACACAAAAAAATTGTTCATTGTCTTTGACTTTCGTCAATGAAGTGTTGAGTTAATTAACATATATTCAACTAAATATTGTCACATGTCAAGTATTTTTCTTATTCTAATTAACACACAAATAATATATTTTTTTTAAAAATAGTGTCTCTCATTTATTGAATTTTTTATTTAAAAATGATAATTAGTTTTTTACTTGTTTAATTTGTCAAGAATTAAATGTTTAAAAAAATTTTAGGAACTAATTTCAAATATTACAATTTTTATAAAAATAAACAATTTATTTAATCCTTCATTTTAAAACAGTATATTAATTAGGATAAATTCTGTCACATATCTAACACATGAATAATAATAATACTGAATAAAAAATTTATTAACTAACTCAGCACTTTGCATATACAAGTTAATAATAGAAAATAATTTTTTCTTATTTAATTTGTCAAAAACTAAATTTTAATAATTTGTTATTAAAAAGTAATTATAATTTTAACAAGTTTTATGACAACAAGTCATAAAATTCTGTTTACATGAATAGACAGATAAATTTACCTAACCATTCTACCTAACACAAGGTAATAGTATTGTTAAAACTGTGAATATTTGTTTTTAGCAAGTAGAACTGAGCATTGGTGGGTGAAAAGGAAAAGGTTGTTCAATCCTAAACGGGTGAACCTTATTTTGTAATACAAATGGAGACAGAGAGGGTTAAGTTAAGCCTTTCGCGGTAGTGCTGTGGCCAAGGCATATTTTATATTTTTTGATTTACCTCTATTCCATTGGTAGAGTCACTGCATCAATTCAGATTCTCATGCTTCTCTTTTTCCTCTCTCTTCTATTCACTGTGAGCCTCTCTTTCTTTCTCTGCCCTACTCTCATTCATTACCAGAGGCAGCGTGTTTACAATACATCTCTTCTAGCGTTTGCTGTTTCATTCTTCCTTTGTGAATCCAACGGTTTTTATTTTATTTTTGTGTAAATCATTTTTCACTTTAAGTGAATAATTATAATTATTCCCTGCATAGATAACTTGTGGACTGCTCCTACCTCTTAGTCTATCTGGATATGTTCAGTGCAATAAAATAATGAAATGGTTACTCTCTCATATTAATGTAGTCACTAATTAGGAAGATGAATGGGTAAAGATGAGGAAAAATAGAGTATAGTTAATGCTGGGGTGTTGTGTGTCACTTTGTAATTACCTTTTATTTCCCAATCATAATATCTGCCTGTGCTAGGGTCCCTTTAGAAGAGTTCAATACAGCTTACGATTATAGTTTATGACTTCTATAAACACTTTTTAGCTTATTTCAATAAATTTTCTTAGTATAATCAAAATAAGTTTTTTTTTTTTTCAGTTTATTCCAGTAAGTTTAGTGGTTGAATTGTGGCATAAGCCATGATGCGAAAAAAAAAAAATTATTGAATAAGCATTTAATTAAGCTGTGGATCTAAATGTGTCCTTATTCTATCTTGGCAACTTTTGATTGTGGTAATGTTTACATTGCAGGGTTGATATGTTGATGGTGACAAGTTACAACATCTACCCAAAGTGCAAGATGATTGGAGTTTCACACTTCCCTTGGCGGCATATGAAATCCACAGTTAAAACAAACTGGATTTCTTCTTGTTTGCCTGCATTTACAAGCATTCATAATCTCACTGGACAAAGTAAGTTCTTGTTCAAACAGATTACTAGAAGTGCTTCTATCCCATTTAGTTATCAATTTATTTTTTCTGTTACCCAATTACAAGTAGTTTTTGTTGTGCGGTGCTGCGCACTTGAATGGACTTTCTCTAGTTTCCATTCTGAGATTTAGTCAATTGAAGAAGTATGGAAACCTTTACTTATGTGACACTGTTGGATTTGCAAGAGCTTAACATTGAGTTTCTTAAGATTTCTTGTGGCTTGATGCCTTAGGATTTGTATACAAGACATCATCAGAAGTTCTTTTGGAAAGGGGAAGCAATGTTGTCACCAATGGACAATTGCAGAACTTCCCATTGTCTTCATATGAAACTGCCATGGAAAAACTTTCATCTCTTATTACTCGCCAGCGGCGTGGAGAAAAGCCGCCAGTTGCTAACAAATTAGAGAGGATGTCGAAGTATCTTAAGGTAATGTGCTGAACTATTTTCCAAGAACTTTGAAATTGTGGTGATGACAGATGTTGCTTTGTAATAATAACCTTATAATTAATTATGGCATAATTTTGTCTTGGTTAGTTTTGGTGGTGTAATCAAATTTACCCCTAGCTACCCACCCAACTGAAAATAACAAAGAAAATAGAACAGAAGAAGAGAACTGGGTTATGGGATTAGAATTCAGCAGACTCAGAATTCCTTGTCTGTTTACCAATTAGGGCAAAGAAAATGTTTTACTTTGTTGGAGTCCATAGTTGAAAATGCTCCTTGAATTATCTGATTCTCATCATATTACAACGTGTAAAAGCTTCATAAGACTTCTTTGAACAGTAAAAGTAAAATGGATGTTCTTTATGCAGATACTAGGTTTGGAAGAAGGTATAAATAGGCTCAACATTATTCATGTGGCTGGCACAAAGGGGAAGGTATTCTTTTTCATAATTTTTCGTATTTTCTTGATTCATTTTATCATTTATCAATTTGTTAAAAAGTCGATTCTGCTTTTTGCTTCAAGATTGAAGAACAAAATATCATTATGAATATTAAATATCTTTTAATTAATTTGTTGCTTGTCTGATAATATTGTTTGGTATCTAAGATTACAGTCAGGGCATCCCTAATATTCATATTCATCCTTCATTTCCCCCCTTTTGTTAATGGACTACTTGTCAGGGTTCAACATGCATATTTTGTGAGGCAATCTTGAGGGAGTGTGGCTTTTGCACTGGAGTTTTCACATCCCCTCACCTAATTGATGTTCGTGAACGATTTCGAATAGATGGGTTAGTAATTGAATGAACTAACTAGTCCTAGAATGCCTGATATTGTATCAGCATTCCATTCATCTATTCTGATCTTTTGTCACTCTTTTTCAATGCCTGTCTCGCTCTCACATGCATTCACCCATGTGTACATATGTGCACACACTTGCACACAATTATTACCTTACCCTTATGCATGAATGTACAGCATAGGTATATCCATCCTGGTAATTGGTAAACTAGTATATTGCAAAAGGTTTAAAAGTTGCTACTCAAAACAATGAACCCAGATGAATAAGAATGCATCTAGATTTCAGTTGACTAATTTCTATTCTAATTTTCTTACTATTATATCTTGTGAAAATAACTGAATTGAGAGAGTGCTTGGCAGTAAGATATTTACATTATAAATGTTTACAAACCTTTATTAAGAAATATCATACCTTGTTGAGGATCTTTGAAGTTGAACATTATTGATTGGTACACTCATTATCTTGCTAATAAACCCTTCACCTAATTTTAAGTTCAAACATCAAACAAATGAAGCAGCTAGTGCTACCTATTTGTTAGATGAAAAGAAATGACATTTCCCTTCTGAAAAGCAGTGCCAGATTAGGAAATATGAATTGCAAATAGAATTTTGTATATACTCGTATGAAAAATAATCAGTGCAATTAACTGTTTAGTTGAATTTTTTGCTGTTTGCTTTAATTTTTAGGATTAACTTCTGAGTTGTTATTATCTCTGTAGGATTGATATATCTGAAGATAAGTTTTTACAGTATTTCTGGGATTGTTGGAACCTATTGGAGGTATTATTTATTTTATTTGTTTTAGAATTTTTTGGACTTTCTTTTTTCTAAATATATGCAGATTTCTTAGATCCAATCATCCAAGCATCACTTTTAGCAGCATAACTGCTTTTATTTGACACTTTATAGAAGAATTGACTATTCAAGTTATTTTAACCCTTCCATATTGGCTGTCTGATAATGCACTGAATAAAACTAAAAAACATAGCTCATTTTTAATGAATGGAAATAGCTGAAAACCTAATCTGTGGCTTATAATGAGATGATATCATCTCAATGGGGATTTGTACAAGAGTAGAAGGGAAAATTCAAGATAACAGAAATGGATGTGTAAACACTGCAAGCACTTTAAGGGGCTTGATTCCTCCTTTCCAAACCTCACTCACAATTCTCCTGCTCTTCCCTTCTCCTTTCTTCTCCCTTTATCCTTTTCCCACTACCCAAATCCATATTTGTTGTGCCACCTGCCATCAGTGCCATGTGAGCTGATTGGTTACATTGCACCCTCCGTAGGTACTCATCATTCTTCCTTCACATACTACTCATGACAACCTTTAGTCAATTTTTGCTAATCCTTTTGCTATCTGTTAGACTACATCTTAAAATCAACTGGCTTAAGTGAAGTTTTGCAGTAGTAGGTACATAAATAAACCACACCTTGGTAAGGCAAGTAATATGTGACTTTTCAATACTCTCCTTATTGATGTTTGCGGCACTGGGCAATACATGGCAGAAACTATTGAAATGACAGAAATGGGCTTTAGGCTGATACCACATTAAATTCCATTTTAAACCACTTTTAAGTGAAGTTTCCCAACAGGCATATGAAGCACACCCCAATAATTGAGGCAGACAATGTGGGATTTTCCAATAGATATCTGTTCTATTATTTTATTTGGATCTTGTAAATACCATCAGCCATTTTAGTTTTGTGGATCAAAAGGGAGAGAGCTCGGTCATTGAAAAGATAACATTAACTCATACCATGCTTCATGGCTATTATTGCTTTTTTTTTTTTTTTCCCTTTCAGAGAGAAAATTTGCTTTACAAAATTGACTGGACATTATACTTGGAAAAGCACATGTAACAGCAAATCTAAAAACATTCACTTGAAAAGTAAATTTTTCTCTCTTTTTCATTTGTCCATTGCACTTGATGAGAAATTGTAACTTTCATACAGTATATTTCAAATCTAATCATTAAATGTTTATGTTTCAGATGTGAAACCATTTGTTAAAAGAAACAATAGAACATAAATATATTATCCATTTAATATTGACATCTTCTGGTGGCAGTTTCTCAACTCCTGAAGCTTAATTTCACAGGAAAATACAACAGAGAACCTTCCAATGCCCCCATTATTTCAGTTTCTAACTATATTGGCCTTCAAAATATTTATATCTGAACAGGTAAACCCTGTTTATCAAGTTTCATACTAAATTATTGCAAAACTACTGTATATCCTTGTTTGCAATAGCCATTGTGGAAGATTTGATGTGATGAACTTGTCATTTTCTGGATCAAGTTCACATAGACCAGTAGCCAATGATATTTACAAAATTGTTTTACCTGTACTATTTTGAAAGTGCAAGATTAAATTATTTCCGAATGATGCAGTACCAAACCAAAACAGTTTGGCCATGTCTAATTATATAAAAAAATTCTTATGTCATTGCTAGTATGTATATATATAGATAGATAGATAGATAGATACCATTATCTCCCTGCAGCATGCTCTTTGCACTCTGGACAACTGTTTTGTTCTGTGATTAATGTTATTTTAATAAAGGAGATTAGTTGTTACCGATACTTATACCATGCATACTCTTTTAAGTAAAATTAAAATAAAACAGAAACTACTGAACTATTTTTTTTCATTCTAAGGAATTTTCTAGAAGGATGGATTGCTTTCTCATCTCAGATGCTTATATGTATTTTATCCGCATCATTCTGAAACTACACTTAATTTTTTTAAAACTGTATGCTTTTCATCATTTGCTAGTAAAATAAGATGAAATCCTACAAATATTCTGTTTGTTTTTTGGATCATAATAAAATTCCTGTATTATATTTTTATGTGCATCTTTATAAATTATGTTTTGATTTAGGAATCCTTGCTGAACCTTTTTCTTTTCGTATGCTGCACCTTTTAGTCTAATATAATGTGCTTACTAGTAAACATTTACTTATCTGCTTATGTTGTCATTCTTTCTTCATCTTTTCTCCACCTTTTCCCTCACTGATAATATTTTTTTTAAATGGTTGCCATTAATAGGTTGATGCTGCCATTATAGAAGTTGGTCTTGGAGGCAAAGAAGACTCAACTAATGTGGTATGCATTGATATCTGTGTTGGGAATATATTATAATGACTACTATTCATTTTAAATATTTATTGTCCATTATCTCTGTCATTATTTTCATTATCTTTATGATTATTAGAAAATTCTCTAGGATATTCTACCTTATAAATATTAAGATTAGATTTCTATATATACATGTAAATTGTAATGTATTCTCACAAGTTAGAATTTCAAAATTTACAAGTTGGTATTGAAGACTTTGATCTTGCGGTTGCTTCCACAAACCAAACCCTAGCTACCTTCATTTCAACACCCAAATCCTAGCTGACTTCATTGCAGCACTTACACCCTACCAACTGTCTTCATTACGGCATATGTCTACACCTTCATTGTGCTTAGGCTCTCTTTTTCAATTTGTCTCAGCTGCTGAAAACCCATGCCACCCCACCAGACCACCAATCAATTTGGCAACCACACCATCCGGAGTGCAAGGCCAAGATTGGCCAAACCCCAGAGTTTCGTCCGCAATAGAGCCACCACGCACCACCACACTACAAGCCACGCACTGCCTTCTTAGCCATTGTTTGCGGTGTTTGCCTCGCCACAAACGTCATTTTGCTTGTCGGGACTTCCTCTGCTGATTGGGACCTGTTTTTAACCCTATGTGTTATCGTTAAAACATACATTTTTTTTTAACCATGGCTGAACAAAAGAACTTTGCCGCTCTCACTTAGATAGAATTAGAACGTCTGCAAGCCCTTATCGTCACTTCCTTGAGTAAGTCTTTGGGAACTTGCTCTTTTGTTATGATTGATAAGAATTTTAGTTTTTCTTATAGTACTCCATGCTCTGAACTTGGAGATATTTAGATAATCGACTCTAGTGCATCGGATCACATGGTCCTAATATAAGTGACTTGCGACCAAGTCACTGTACACATGTAAGGATAGTTAGCAGGAATTCCGTTATAATTTCATGTATGGGAAGTTATTTAGAAATTGACAAATTATAAATAGTTTTCATTTGTTGTAAGGAAATAAGTTTTTTTTGTAAAATTCTGTGTGAACTTTATTCTTGTTCTTCAATAAATAATATTCGGAATTCATTCTTCCATTGAATTCCCTATTATCTTGTGAAATCTTCAAACACCTAGCTGTTCCTAGATTCACCTTGTATCAGTGGTATCAGTGAGTTCGTCAAGGACCTTCTTCAATGGCAAATGTGACAAGAAGCTAGGCTGCGCAACGCAAATTGGAAGAGCGCATTGAATCAAGAATCAATCTGCGATTGGATGAAAGATTGATGGCATTGGCGACGTCGACTCAGACAAATGTCCAAGAGGCCTTGCAGGTTTCGATGGATCAATCAATTCAACGTTCCTTCCAAGAAATGCACCAGCACCTGATCGAATTGACAGCGACAAATGGAAGTGTTGCGAATCTGGGACGTAAAGATCATACGAAAAACAATTACTCGTGTGGCACCAGGTTAGCACGTATTGACTTTCCTCGTTTTAATGACGATTCAGTAAATCAATGGATTTACTAATGTAATACATACTTTTCTATTGACGGTACTCCTGAGGATATTAAAGTATGTTTGGCAGTTACTTATTTTGAAAGAAAAGTCCTACTGTGGCATACTCCCTTTGTAAAAACGCTAGGTGTACATACTTTATCCAATTGGACTGAGTTTACTAAGATAGTAACTGATAGATTCGGAGATACCTGTGATGACCCTATGGCTTCTTTGATGAGGCTTCGACACAAAGGATCAGTAGTTGAATACCATGAGGAATTCAACTCCCTAATCTCTAGGCTGGATTTAACTGAGGATTATATATTGAGCTGTTTACTAGGAGGATTGAAAAAGGAAATACAACTGATGGTGAGGATGTTCCAGCCTCAGGATGTTAGGAAGGCTTTCACTTTGGCGAAATTATATGAATCCACTGCTGCAAACAGTTTTACCTCTAACCCATTTTCTAAACCAAGTCAGATATCACAACCTTCCAAATCCATATTACCTACCAACCCACCTAAACAACCAGCTAACCAAACTACACTTCCCAATTACCAAACACAAACCAGTAAAAAGCTTACCCTAGCCTACATGAATGAGAGAAGAGCCAAAGGGCTTTGTTACTTCTGTGATGAGCCTTTTACCCCAGCCTATGCCCTTACCCATAAGAAACTCCAATTGCATGTATTGGAAGCAAATGATGATGACAGTAGTGAGATTGGTGATGATAATACAGTTTCCAACCTTGGTTCTGTGACTACTATGTTGGACGGCAGTTTGGACCCTCAAATTTCTGTAAATGCGTTGACAGGTGTGACTACTTTCAAGACCATGCGAGGGACTGGCTATTTTAAAAAAAGACCTCTGCATATACTTATTGATAGTAGGAGTACTCATAATTTCCTCAATGTTAACATGGCTAAGAAATTGGGCTGCTTAATTAAGGATGTTCGAAATTTGAGTGTGGCCGTTGCAGATGGGAATAAGGTAAAAATCTGCTCAGTAGTCAAACAATTCACTTGGACAATTCAATAAACCAACTTTGTCTTAGATATGTTACTGATTCCCTTGGGGTGCTGTGATTTGGTATTAGGAATTGAATGGTTAGTTACCTTAGGAAACATAACTTGGAATTTTGACAAACTATCAATGGAATTTTATGTTGACGGAAAAAAGCTGGTTTTGAGAGGGGCTAATCCATCAAGTTTAACAACTATGAAGAAGAAACAGCTGAACAAGGTCTTGAATTCAGAACCTCAGTTGTCAATGTTGCACATTTGTGAGAGCGATCAGGGAGTTTTTTCTTCCTTAACTACTCATGCTTCTGACACTATTGTACAGGAACCTATCGAAGCTCTCTTATTACAGTTTGAAGATCTTTTAATGGAACCAACAAAATTACCTCTAAAGAGGCCTACGCATGATCATATAATACCCCTGATACAAGGGGCAGATCCAGTGAATAAACGACCTTATAGATATGCCAAACGTCAAAAAGATATCATTGACAAGTTAATTAAGGACTACCTCAATAGTGGAGTGATTCAACACAGCACCAGTCCTTATGCTAGTCCTGTAGTTTTGGTTGGGAAAAAAGATGGTTCATGGAGGCTCTGTGTGGATTATAGGGAGCTTAATAAACAGACTATCAAGGACAGATTTTCAATTCCATTGGTGGATGACCTGCTGGATGAACAATATGGTTCAGTAGTGTTTTCAAAAATCAATCTTTGGTCTGGTTATAACCAGGTAAGAATAGCTGAGAGTGACATTCACAAAACTGCTTTCAAGACACATGGGGGACACTTCGAATACTTGGTGATGCCTTTTGGCCTCACAAATGCACCAGCCACTTTTCAAGGGCTGATGAATGATGTCTTCAAAGATTACTTAAGGAAGTTTTTGTCAGTGTTCTTTGATGATATTTTAATATATAGCAGCAGTTTAAAGACGCATTTACAGCATTTGCAACTGGTTTTACTTCCTATGAGGTCCAATTCCTTGTATGCTAGAAGGAGCAAATGTTATTTTTGTGTTGACAAGGTGGAATACCTTGGCCATTTTATCTCAAGAGAAGGGATTGCAACTGACCCTGCTAAGGTCACAGCTGTCCAAAATTGGCCTCTACCTACCACTCTTAAACAGCTAAGGGGTTTTTGGGACTTGCAGGGTATTACAGGAGATTTGTGTGAAACTATGGCTGTATTGCTAAACCTCTAACCAACATGCTAAAAAAGGAGAATTTTCATTGGTCTCCTGAAGCATTAAATGCATTTCAGACTCTAAAAGCCAAATTGGTGGAAGCTCCAGTGTTGGTTTTGCCAGATTTTTCTAGGGTCTTTATTGTTGAAGTCGATGCTTCTGGTCATGGTCTTGGTGCTGTTTTAATGCAAGACCACCACCCTATTGCATTTATCAGTAGAGCTCTGAATTCTCAGCAACGGGCTTTGTCAATCTATGAAAAAAAGCTTTTGACAGTGGTATTTGCTGTGCAGAAGTGGCGACATTACTTGCTTAATACAAAATTCATTATCTGAACAGATCATTAGAGTTTAAAATACATACTCAACCAAAGGTTAACAATTACTTTTCAACAGAGGTGGCTGGTAAAGTTGATGGCATTTGATTTCTCTATTGAGTTCAAGTAAGGGCATGAAAACATGGCTACTAATGCCTTATCAAGACAGGAACCCGTTGACTGTTAAGCCATCAACACTTGTGTACCTGAATCTGACTTGTATGAAAAAGTTTAACTGTCATGGGCTAGTGATAGCACACTACAACAATTGATTACTGAAATTCAGGCCAATGCTGATTCACATAAACATTATGTTTGGCAGAACAATGAGCTACGAAGAAAAGGGAGATTGGTTGTAGGGAAGGATTGCTGGATCAGAAAAGCTATTTTTGATTGGCTGCATGCTTCTACTAGTGGAGGTCATTCAGGTAGAGATGCTACTTTGAGGAGAATGCAAGCTGTGGTTTATTGGAAAGGAATGACAAAAGATGTTAGGACCCTTGTAATGCAATGCAGCACTTGTCAAAAGTCTAAATATGATACAGCTGCCATCCCGGAACTACTGCAGCCACTGCATATTTCAAGAAGAATTTGGCAGCATATCAATATGGATTTTATTAAAGGTCTTCCGAGATCATGTGGGAAGCGGGTTATATATGTGGTGGTGGACAGGCTGAGTAAAGCAGCACACTTCATGGCACTTAAACATCCTTACACAGCTGCTGATGTTGCTCAATGTTTCCTAGACAATGTGTTTAAGCTGCACGGTTTTCCTGAGTCGATAACAAGTGATAGAGACCCTGTGTTTGTGAGCCAATTCTGGAAAGATATGATGTCTTGTCAGGGTGTACAAATAAACCTTTCTACTGCTTACCATTCTCAAACTGATGGTCAGGTAGAATTATTGAATAGGTGCTTGGAAACTTACTTTTGATGTATGTGTGCGGATGTTCCGCATGAGTGGTCAAAATGGTTGCCATTGGCTGAGTGGTGGTATAATACTACCTACCATTCTGCAATCAGAACCAGCCCTTATGAAGTTGTGTATGGTCAACAGCCACCAATGCACTTACCTTACCTTCCTGGGGAGTCTAGGGTTGAGTTAGTGGATAGAAGCTTTCAGAAACGTGAAGAAATGTTGAAGGTGGTTTAATTTCATTTGAAAACAGCTTAAGAACGAATGAAACAGCTTACTGACAAGCATAGATCTGACAGGCAATTTGAGGTTGGTGACTGGGTCTATGTGAAACTTCATGCTTATAGACAAATTTCTGTTGCACGACGGGTGAATGCTAAGTTGTCCCCAAAGTATTATGGTCCCTATACAATTCTGGATAAAATAGGTTCAGTTGCATATAGAATTCAACTATCAGCGGGATCCAAGGTCCACAATGTCTTCCATGTATCCCAATTGAAGAAGCATGTTGGAGAGGTACCTATTTCCAGCAATTGTCTTGAAGTTTCTGATTCAATTGGGGGAGGACGTGAACCTGAATCCATCCTTGACAGAATGACTCTGAAGAGGGAAAATATGCCTATCACCAAGGTTTTGGTCAAGTGGAAGCATCAACTGTAGAGGATGCCACGTGGGAGTTTTATTATGACCTGAAGCGAAAGTTTCCTCATTTCAATCCTTGAGGACAAGGATTATGTTACGGGGGAAAATATTGGTATAGGTGACTTGCGACCAAGTCACTGTACACATGTAAGGGTAGTTAGCAGGAATTCCGTTATAATTTCACGTATGGGAAGTTAGTTAGAAATTGACAAACTATAAATAGTTTTCATCTGTTGTAAGGAAACAAGTTTTTTTTGTAAAATTCTGTGTGAACTTCATTCTTGTTCTTCAATAATATTCGAAATTCATTCTTCCATTGAGTTTCCTATTGTCTTGTGAAATCTTTGAACACCTAGCTGTTCTTAGATTCACCTTGTATCAGATCCCCAATCTTTCCTCTTTTGCTTTCCATTCTACTTAATCTTGTACAAATCACATTATAGTTGCAAATGTTTCACAAACTCTCTTTTTTTGGTGAGGTAATATTCAATGCACCAACAACCTTATCTTCATATACTCACACGTGATCTAAATTGTTTTGTAACTTTTCATTCATTGAATTTTTCAAGATCTTTTCTTGAGAAGGACAATTGGAGTTGCTAAGGAATAAGGAGGGTTATATTACTTTCGATCACTACAAATTGAAGTTCAAGACAATGTTGGAAGAAGGAAGGTCAATTCTTGTAATCAGTTTTCTGTTAAATATGTCTTCTCTCAGATTTAGCTTCAACCTAGGTATCTAGGTGACACCTTTTTGTTTACTAAAGAATATGTTTCTTTCTTTGTTTTAAAAGAATCAGTTCGATCTTTTCAATGTAATGTCTGTCAATTTGTTAAACACTATTGTGTGACTTTTTCAAATAGTTTTCATAAAAAGTAATGCACCTTTTAATCTTATCCACTCTGATGTGTGGGAACCAGCTCCTATTGCTAATATTTCTAGTGCTAAATGATTTGTATTATTAATTGATAATTGTGTGTGTGTGTGTTAGATTTATTTTGTGAAAGATAAAATTGAAGTGACTCAATTATTTGTGGATTTTTATTACCTAATTCAAACATAACTTGGAAAAACAATTAAATGCTTATGAACAAATAATAGATGAGAATAAGTGAACCAAAAATTGTCTCAATTTCTGCAAGACTATTCATGAGTTGACGTGTATAGATATTCCTTAACAAAATGGAGTATAGAAAGGAAAAATCAACATCTCTTGAAAGTTACCAAAGCTTTACATGATAGTACCTAAATCATATTGGGGAGAAGCAGTTTTAACGGCTGCTTATTAAATCAATAGGTTGCCCAGTTGCATTTTGAATGACCCTAGTCCTGTCCAATCAATGTCTATCTTTCATCCTTCTTTTATGAATAGCATTCGAGTTCTTGTCTTAGGTTATATTGTCTTTGTGTTCACAGTCAACATCGTGGCCAGTTGGATCCTTACTACTATTTATTGTAAATATTTATTGTCATTATCTTTGTAATTACTTTCCATTATCTTTATGATTATTAGGAAATACTCTATGATATTTAGGATATTTTCTCATGTAAATATTATGATTAAACTCTTATATATACATGTAAATTATAATGTAGTCACACAAGATAGAATTTCATAATTTCCAAGTATATGGTATCACGGATTTATTTCTTATAACTTCTGTTGGTAACAATTCTTTACTCTACTTTCTTGAACTAATAAAAAATTGTTTAAAGAAATTGTGCTCACTTGCTTATGATTTATAGCTATTACATTTCAAACTGATTATGAACTTGCAGATTAAAGAACCTACTGTGTGTGGCATTACTTCTTTGGGCATGGATCATACTGAGATATTGGGTGTGTATTTCTCATAGTTTCTGAACATTCTGCTGCTTTGCAATTTGTTTACTCAGAAAAACTTAACATGTTCATGTGTTGAGGTTTCCATCATCGATGTAAACTCTCATTTTTATCTTTCAAATTTTGTGCTTTTTCTTCAACAACATTGAATTGACCACAATATGGAGAAAGGTATTTGAAATTACTAAAATTATGCAGGAGATACTCTTGGACAAATAGCTTCACAAAAGGCAGGGATTTTTAAGGTATGAAAATTCTACTTCAGCAATCTAATTTGCACTTTGATTTCTATGGAAATAGCTACTTATTGTTGTACTTTTGCTCTATTTATTTGAGTTCTATACCCCCTCCCCACCTTCAGTTTTTGCCTTATCTTCTGAAGAGTTTATGTCTTTCCTGTTCTTGAAGCCTAAAGTTCCTGCCTTCACAGTTCCCCAACCTCCTGAAGCAATGGAAGTTATCCTTGAGAGGGCCAAAGAACTCATGGTAATCACTGTTATCAATCCCTTCAACTGTTATAAAGTACGTCAAGGAAAGAGCATTATGATGTCTCTTATCAATGCCAATTGCTTTTATTATTTTGAGAAAAACAAATTTAGAGTTCTTATGGTCAGAAGCTCCTATCCTCACCTTGACTCAGGATGTTGCTCATCAAAACATTACTGTAATAAACTCATAAAACTGCAAATTCTTTGTTACTAGTTTTAATTTAGATTAATTAAAGATCTTAATCAGATCTAATGGCAGCCCAGTGTATAATGTTCCCTCTTGGTGGAGTTTAGGGAGGGTAGATAAATGTGACCTACCCACGCAAGTGAAGAGACTATTTCCAGGATATGAACTTCTGACCTGTGGGTCATAAAGCCGCAATCTTATCATCGCACCAGGGGTCACCCTCTCACTTTGTTTACATATGATAAGATAAATGACTTCGAGGGAAAAATAATGTTTCATCACACAGTAAGCTTAGAAGGGTCACTTGTTTATACCATACAACTCTTATGATTTCTAGTTGTTTTGAAGGACAGGCTTTTGGTTATGTAATGAATTTTCAGATTGAGTCTGTTGTTAAAAATAAATTAATAAAACTGAAACTTTAAGTGAAACTTCGTAATCAGGCATGTTCTAACTGTCTGAAAGATTAACTTTTCAGATATTCAATTATATGTAATCAAGTACTTCCAATATTTTAGAGCTCTGATTTAGTAGGAAAATATAGGCCAGCTGCCATCAATCATACAAGCATTCTGGAGCATGGGCAACCTCACCTGAGCAGATGGGCCTCTTAATTGTTAATGCTATTAATTTTGCTTATTTTCAATGGCTGCAGGTTCCACTGGAAGTGACTGAACCTTTTGACTATAAGCAAATAAAGGGATTAAAGCTTCGTTTATCTGGCAATCACCAATTCTATAATGCTGCTCTTGCAGTCTCACTTTCTAGATGCTGGCTTCAGAGAACAGGAAACTGGGGGGAAATTTTTCAGAACGTTAGTTAAAATTCTACTTTTGGTTCATGCTTATCTAAAGCCTTGTAAATCATAATGCATTAGAATCTAAGCAGATAATTTATGCAAACCCTTGTATATCATAATGCATTAGAATCTAAAATGCATTGGCAATAACTATGCTATCAGAATGAGTCTCTTGTCATAGTCAGATTGATTGGTAACACCATTAGTCACAGATATAATTAGTTAATGTTTATAAAGTTAGTTAGTTGTTGATATCTGTTGGTCAAGTTGAGATAGAGAAGACTTATGGCAGAGTGCTTATACATAAGAGGAGAGGTTGAGAAAGAGGAGTATCTTATATTTTGTGAGAGGAAATTAGGGCCTTTTGACATTGGGAGGTGCATACCCTTTAAGTTCTGCAGTACTGTAACTAACGGAGATTTTCCATATTCTTTGTAATAAGATAACTGGCCAACCAACAGATATCAACAACTAACAAACTAACATAGAATCTAACTAATTATGGGGTTACCTATCACAGATTTTAATCCTTTTGGATGGATTAACCAGTAAATATTTTTTTATTTTCAATTGGTTGGTGTGTATAATAATTGCATTTTTTCCACTTTAAGATTATTCCGCCTGCTCTTCCTTCATTGTTTCATGATCTAGTGTATCAACAATAATGTTATATTTCTCTTTCTTCATAATACGCCATTTTCACCCAACTTCTTTCATTGTATAATAGGATTTTCAGGACCCTAATTTGCCCGATGAATTTATTAGAGGCCTTTCAAATGCCCATTTTTCTGGAAGAGCTCAGATTGTTTATGACTCTCCTCCAAATTCTGACTCCTCAGCAATTGTGACCAAAACTTTTGGAGAGTTGATATTTTATTTGGATGGAGCTCATAGTCCAGAGAGCATGGAGGCTTGCGCAAAGTGGTTCTCTAATGCCGTAAGACAATATGATATTCCATCACATTCGTCTTTTGAAGTAGAAAATGCAGAGGAATCTTCAGAAAATGGTCACATCTCAAATCAAAGCAAGACCTTGGAGCAGTTTGAGAAATCTTTTAGGCGGGTAGGCATTCTGAAAATAATTGATTGTTCCAGCTGTTCTTGGAGCTTAACCATTGTTGTTGTGATAACATAGTATATCCTTTCTTGGATGATTCTTCCCCCATTTTGAAGTAAATACTAGGGTTGTCACTTTCAACCAACTATATTAATGCAATCCTCAACACTAATTGCTTTAGTTTTTGTTTTATATATCATTAATTGTTTTTGAGATTTCTTGAATCTGACAAAGTACCACATGAAATTATTTTGATCATTTATTTCATTATTAATTCCCTCCTGATATTCAGCATTGATTAATTGTAGATTCTTATATTCAATTGCTTAGATGTGAGAAATCCTCATATTTTGCTTCCACGGTTGGTGAATACATGTGCTTCTTCAGGTATTCCTGCTTCAAAGCACCTCATAATTAGTTATATTCACTTTCTTTTATAAAAGGCTATTTTCATTACGAGTCATGACTACCTTTTTTGCTTACATATAAAATTTGTGACTGGACTTAAGAATATATTAGACAGTACATTGAACCTTCTAGCATACCAGTTCAGTGAGTTGACCCATTGCGTATGTTATGGTGGAGAAATGCATTTCAAATATATCCAACATAAAATGCTACATTACATTTTCGATAATTCTCTGGAAGGAAAAAAATAATTGAAAAAGAATGATGTTCAAGTGTTGTATATGTTCTCACTTTGCTATCTGAAATGTTTTTTTCTTTTGTTGTGCATGCCTATGGGTTGGATTGCACTAATGCATTCAGAATGTGTTCAAACCTTGCACAGGTATTCATTTCTCAAGAGCACTTTTTGTACCAAGTATGTCGAAGTATACTAAGGTTACTTCCGGAGCATCAGTTATTTCTTCTGATCTCCATGGCATAGATCTATCATGGCAGTTTAACCTCCAAAGAATCTGGGAGAAGATTACGCATGGGAAGGGTATACCCCACCTTTTCAGCTTGTAACATGTTCTTTGTCACTCTAGGGACCTCATGGTGGTTTTCATTATGCTTGTCTCAGTCATATTGTCTTTAATGTAGCAAATGGATCTTTAAGCATCAAGGGGTAATAACAGTCTGATATCAATCTCTTGAATTTTTGTTGTTTCCTGTCTGGCATTCATTGGAAGATATCCAGAGGCTCAACTTAGCAACTTTTAGTGCTTTATCATGCTGGCATTAATTCAGTAGAGTGGTCCTGATAATGACATATATATTTGAGCCTTGACAATCAATTGAAATATTTATTCTTAAAATTAAAAGAATAAAGCCATCTAGTTACAATGTTGGTTCCTTCGGCATCCTTATTATCTTGTAAACAAAGTGGAAAGTATTTCCTAAGAAAATTCAACCAAACGATGAGATACAAAATATTGATTTAGAAGTTTGTGGAACACTATAATGTTTAAAATTCAACAGTGACTGCTATTGTAAGTTCTTCAAAAATATTAGGCTTTAGATTATGCCTAGATAATAGATAAATCATAAATGTAACGACAGAAAATTGCCTAATGAAATTATTTAGACAGACCATACCAGAATTCCTTTATTTCATGCTAACATGCTGCATTACAGGACCAAGTATTCTTGACAAAGCTTGACTTTCTGACCTGTGCGTTATCTTGTTTATCTGCAGAAGTGACAACTTCGCTTGAAAAGGATTTCAAGATAGATAGCAAGGAGATCTTACCACCTCATGAATTTCTTTATGATGATAGTTCAAATGGCTTGCATTCTCGTAACTATCTTGCATGCAGTGCAGTAATACCTTCGTTGCCAATGACAATAAAATGGCTGAGGGACTGTGTCAAAGAACACCCATCCACAAGACTTCAGGTAACAATAACGTTGATGGTACTTAATTCGTATATTTGTCTTGGTTGATGAGTATTTCTTATTTAGTGCTAAATCTCAAATTTTTTCTATAACCGGGAACATCCTAATAAATGCCATTAAACAAGTGACAATCAAATTTTGCTTCACCTTTTCTCTCTTCCCTTTCAAAGGTGTCTTTTTCAACTCAATTCTGTTGGGTTGAATTTCTTTGTTCTTCTCTTTTCCATGCCTTATCCATTGTACCATTAATGGTGTTGAAACACTAGTGATGTATTATTCTGTTTAAACACCGTGCCTATAATTGTCTTGAGAAGATGGAGAATGGTGTTTGACTTTTCCTTCTATTTGTTAATGGGACACAAAGAAGTGTGTTTTTTCACTATCTCTTCAGCTTGCTGCCCACCTCCCCAATACTAAGTGCATGCTGAGAGCCAATTGTTACTGATGGTTGCAGGTTCTTGTCACTGGATCGCTGCATCTTGTTGGAGATGTACTAAAGCTCTTGAAAAGATGATTCAAATTGAAGAATAAAAGTGGCTGCTTAAATTGGCTTTGGAAACTTTTATTGCAACAAATGTTGCCATTTTTTCAATCATTTCAGCAGATATTGAGCTCATGTGATTGCTCAATGGTGTGCAGATATTTCTTTCTTTACAAATATGAGCAATTGTATGGGCATATTTCACACCATCTCCGAAATGCTTAAAAAAAACGCGGGGAAAAAATAGCAAAATTGGTAAACCAATATTAAAGGTTCATTTTTTAATCCATACGAAGCTATTACATGTGCATACTAATGTACTATTCATTGTTAATCTTGAGAAAGTTCAGTTTGGGACAATCATATGATACTTAGCTCTTCCCAAAACTATTATTATTTATTCATGCTTCTTGACCCTTGATCAGTTTTGGCAGACTCAAGATACAGAATAATAAATGAAACCACGATTTTTTCCAGAGTTTTCAGGAAAAGGATGTAAATAAAAGAACACAAGCCAGCAATTAATGATGAAATTATTTTTAAATATTTATTTCGATAACTATGCTTATCATGGTAGTTAAAATTGTGTGCCAACTTGGAGAATCAAGCGATTCTATGATCCTGAACCACTATGCCATGCTTACTCACAGGCAAGATCCGAGATTTGTAGGATAGCATGGAATTGCGCAAGATAGTAGGACCGGTAGGCTCGTCCGATTTTGTTACGTTTGTTTTAGCTTGTTTTTGTGATTTGACCCATTACTCGTTTTCTTGACTAGATTGCCTTATAGTTGTCAATAGCACGGTGATGCATGGGGAAGCAATCTTCAGCTGCCACAGATCTATTATAGTGAAGCGTTTTACCGTGGCGATCATCGCAGTTGTATTTACTACTATTACAGCTTAATTTTGTGGTCTTTAATAACTAAACAATGTTGTTACAGAAAAATGTCGACTTTCCCTTCCTCTCTCCATAACGATGCAATTTTCAGGACTTTTTAAGTAAAAAATATTTTTTATCTTTCAAAAATAAACTAATTTTTCCTTTTTCCCCTTAAAATGACACAATTTTAAGTTTTTTTTAGGGTAAAATACTCTTCTTATGACTATACATCACTTTATCCATTCCTTCTTCCCTTCTCCGTTTGACACTCCTTTTTCTCATCCTCCATCTTTGTCCTTGTTTTTAGTGGGTATGTCTGCCTCTGTTTTGAGGGTGGCTTCCTTCTACAAAAAGATAAAAAAAATATATATATTTTTTAGTAAATATTTCACTCAATTTAAATAACTTAACTATATACGTATTTTTTATTTTTAGATTAAAAGCATGTTTAGTTCTACTACTATTTAGTTTGGAAGTACATCATTTTGAAGTTACTAAAAGTAATTTTTATTTATAAAATGTATGTATAGGTAATTTTAATGAACCAATCACACGATAAATGTTGATTAGACGTTGAAAAAATGTATTTCAATCAATAATGTTTAATTCCAGATGCAACTTTCACATCTTTTAGTAACATTTTTATTGGATGTGCATGCGCTTTGATTTGTATAAAATTTTGCTAAAAAGAATGGTTAAAAAAACCGCTAGAAGGAGGGCTTGAACCTCCGACCTTGTGGTTAACAGCCACACGCTCTAACCAACTGAGCTATTCCAGCTTTGATGGCAAGTATGATGTACGCTTATACTACTAGTTATGCTCTCTCGAACCTCCACTCCCCTCTTTATTAAACTCTGCTTTTAACTGATTTTTGTGTCTTGACGGACATAAATAATTTTATACTAAGTAGATTAATATTTTATTGATAAAAAATTAATATAATATTTCATTTTATTAATATTCTACTTATAATAGAGTTATTATTCTGTAGAATAACTTGAATTTTCTTCTATTTTGCCACCTTAATTGCATAATAATAATAATTTTTTATTATTATTATCTAATTTCTTTTTCTAAAAATTATTTTTATTTTTTATTTAATTTTTTATTAGTGATATGTTAGCTCACTTCATTATTTAATTACATTTATATTAATAAATTAGTAATGTATTTTCTTTATGTATAATATAACCAGAACTTAATGTGAGTGAGATGTGTTATTGAAAAATAAAATAACATTTATATTTTTTTAATAAAATTTAATGTTATAAAGTTAATATTTTAAATTTAAATTTACGAATATAAAAGAAATAAAAAATATTGATGTCAAATCATACTTTACATAAATCGAGTATTTTATTACAAGAGTCAAAATTAAATGTCACATAAATAAATAGATAAATAAATAAATTATTAACAAAAAAAGTTATATAAAACTAATTTTTTAGAGAAATTATTTATAAAAAAATTTAAAAATAAGAAAAAAATTAAAATATATAAATTTCCCAAAAAATAAAATTTTATTTAAACTTATTTTTTATTTATTTAATTATTTAAGCGTATTATATTTTAAAATATCTCATCTATCGAGGGAAATAATATTTTGAAAAGGAAAAAACTTTAATTATTTATTATTGCTTGGAGTTGTTTTACTTTAAGCATAAAAACAAAAAAAAAAACTAAAAAACTTGATAATTAAAGTTTTATATGATTAATTAATTGATTAAAAAATTATAATATTGAAAATAAATACTTTATATATTATTATTTTATTTTTTATAAGACAATGTCAACTAAATTATACTAATAAATAAAGATAGTTAAAAGTAGTTATTTTTTATTTTTTAAATATTACAATGTAGCACATTTACTCTTATGATTATTGAATGTAACCCACAATGTATAAAATTATAAAATATTTTATAATAAATATAATTAAAGAGTGTATTTGATGATACAAGCGTAAAAAATGTCTAATAATTTATTTATTTTGTCAAAATAAATTAATAAAATCATTTGATAAATAAATAATAAAAGATGTTTATAATTTTTAAAATCTAACTTCTAATATTTTTTAATATTTAATATTTTAAATAACTTGTATTCACACAAAATAACATTAACATTTTTAAAAGTTATGTAACACATTTCAACTACATACATACAATTACTTATTGAATAATTTTAATTCAATCAGCTAATAATAAATTATAAATTTTCAATTATAAATTAAGTTTTTAATTTAATTTATTAACTATTAATTATAAAAAGTACTTTATAAAAAAATAATAAAAATTAGTTTACAAGTTATAACTAAAGCGTTATGTAATTCATTGGAAATATAAAAAAAAAAAACTGTACATATAATCTATAACAAATTAACTAACAATAAATTTAAAATAATTTGTATTTCAAAAATATTTGATAAGTTTTTTAAATAATATTTTTTCTAATTGAAAATTCAAATGCACTAAGAAAAAAAGCATAAGTCCCGTGCCCTCCTTCATTTCCCAGTGGCGGTTCTTTCTTTCTTTTTCGGTCTTTACCTGACATGAAACAAGTCCTGCAATTCGTGTCTACAAGCACTATCAATCTCACTAGGTTTCCTTTGCGTCGTGCCTCTTCTTTATTTTCCACGTTTCTACAATTTTATGTTTTTTTTTTTCAATGTTTTTTTCCCTTAAAGTTTAGATTTTTTATTTTCCTTTTTAAATTTGTTTTCAAAAATAAATTTAAAATGTTGCATTATACTTATTGGAACATGTTAATCGAATCTCAGTTCATTTGGATAGTTGAACTGAACTGACTAAGAATGTTGTAGTTTTGCAGTGTTTCAGAAGCGTTTGAATGCTAAGACATTGATTTTTCCATTTGTGAGAGCAGTGGGATCTAAAAGACCCTTTTCAAATTCATCAAAACCCATTTCACCAATTGTTGAGGACAAAAAGGATATGAAGCTTAAAGGGTTGGAAACAAGTCCTGGTTCCAAGAACAATGTTGCTAAGGTCTAATTGATGTTTCAGTAATATTATCATTCTTATGCTATTTTGAGTATTGTAAACTGTAATCCTCTTTGGTCTCTCTTGGTTTTGGTTATTCACCCTATCCAAATTGATAATGTAGGAGAATGATGTCAATAGCTATTCCATTGAGATTGAGAGATTAAGAAATGACCCAACAATTGTAGACACAATGACTGTTCAGGAACTTCGGAAAACGTTGAAGTAAGCAGATATGTATTTTTCCTTACATAGTAGCTACCTACTGCATTAGTTTTAGTAATAGGAAATATTCTTGCAGTTAATTGTATTGGGAATGGTTTGAATTCTCAGGAGATTTAGGGTCTCTGCCAAAGGTCGTAAAGATGATCTTTTGTCTGCCTTGAAGAGTTTCATGGACAATAACACATGCGGTATACATTATTCTTAGTACTGTTTGTTTCAGGGGGAAGGGAAATGAAATTTTTTTATTTTTTTCTTCTATGTCAATTATTGTCTCCAACGTCCGAAAACAAGCTTGTCCTGTACTCCTTAACCTTTGTGTCGCTCTTTAAAAACCACCTCAAGCTGTATAATACTAATGGTTAGAAGGTCTCTTTGTGCAGAACAAGATTCTCAAGTAAGAGAACAACAAGGGGTATTAATCTCCTCTGAAAATACAACTGTAGAAGTGGAGGCTAAAAAGATATCAGATGAAGACCATGTTGAAAACGACAATGAAACTACAGAGACATTTGAACTTAACCGGGGTAAGAGAAAGTTAAAACAATCAGACTCTGTGAGAAAAACTGTCAAAGTGACAACCAAGAAGAAGCCGTTGTTGAAATCAGACGAGGATTCAGGTTTTGTTGTAGAGTAGAGTTGTTATCTTTCTTTATCATAAATATTTAGCATAACTCAGTAGTTACTTCTTCACATCTTTCTTTTTTATTTGTCAAATTTTTTCAAATGTCACTCATTTAACTCAGGGTCAATATTGTATCTGTGTTCATTTCCAGATTTTAAACCTTCCAGGGCAAAGCAAAAAGTATCTTCAGATATTGTTAGCATTGTTGCACAGTCAGAAGAAATCCATACAACCACTATTCAAACTGAACCATGGACAGTTCTTGCCCACAAGAAGCCCCAAAAAGGTTGGATTGCATATAATCCTAGAACCATGAGACCCCCACCACTTGCTCGTGATACAAAATTTGTCAAGCTTCTGTCGTGGAATGTCAATGGATTGAGAGCATTGCTAAAATTAGAAGGATTCTCAGCACTTCAACTTTCCCAAAGGGAAGACTTTGATGTATTGTGTTTGCAAGAGACTAAGCTGCAGGTAGAATATTGGTCATTTTATGCCTCAAAGAATTATATTTTCTGACAGTCCTCAGTTTCAGTTAGGTATGACATATATAGAAAAAAATTGAAAAGTTCTTTCTTTTCTCCTTTTTATTTTGCTTGTTTATAGGTGCTTCTTGTGTTATATTGTGGTTACATAAATTCTGATGGTTGCTAAAAAAACTATGCTAAGAATTAATTTTGTATTTATAAAGATGCTTTCTTCAACTGAATAACAATAGTAGATAACTTGGAAAAAAGACAAAAGAGAAAAAAAGGGTGGACAAAAACATGAACTGAATCTTTTTTTTAGTTATGGAACTGTATTGCTCCTGAGAAATATGTGCATTTGCAAATTGTGAAAGATGTGAATCATAGGAGGCTGTTCCCAAGTCCCAACTGCCTCAGTCACTGCCTTTTATGATCTATCAACCATGATGAAGATGTTAATATGAAAATTCATGGTGCTCATGTCCTCTCTGCTGCTCATGAGTGCTCTGGTTTTGCCAACAGGAGAAGGATATTGAAGAAATCAAACAGCGTCTAATAGATGGCTATGAGAACAGCTTTTGGACGTGTAGTGTTTCCAAGCTTGGTTATTCTGGAACAGCAATTATCTCAAGGGTATGTTGACTATGTTCATCCTGCCTCTTCATACTTAATGTAAACTTTTAACACATAATATTAAATTATATTTTCTACATTTAGAAGAAAGGCTGTTTATCGTAGTTAATATTCCCTGCACAATTGATTCATGCTAGATTTTATTTTGGCAACATAATAGTTAATGCTGCACTATACCCATTTTTTTCTGAGTAAAATTTTTGGCAATGAGACTGAAAAATTATTTTGTAGCTACTTGTGGTGCAGCTCTTGCTGCCTACTTTAGTAATATTCTTTTTTCAACAGAGCTAAATACTAATTACAATTTTTCGTACTAACTGACATGATTTTCATTCTGTTGAATAGCCAGGCCATTTGATCCTCATTTAATCAATTTCAAGGATGGCGTTCACATTAATAATTCTTTTTCTAATATTAATTGTTCCATCAATTGGAATTCTGGCAGATAAAGCCACTTTCAGTTAGATATGGCCTAGGTATATCTGATCATGATAGTGAGGGTCGACTTGTGACAGCAGAGTTTGATACATTTTATTTGATAAGTGGATACGTCCCTAATTCTGGAGATGGCTTGAAAAGACTGGTAATTGTATTAACTTATTTCCTTTCATTATATTTTCCCCATTTCAATCTGAAAAATGTATCCTCAACCCATTAATCTTTCTGTATTTGAATCTAGTCTTACAGGGTGACTCAATGGGATCCATCTCTTGGTAATTATTTGAAAGTATGTATAGCTCCTTTTGCTCACCTAGTAGGATAAGGGATAATGTGTTGTTTGTATATATTTCTCCTTTCACGCTAATATCTTTTCTTGTCTTGTCAGAATACAGAATCCATCCTATGCTTCTTTTCCTTTGTGATATATGCTGAATATGGTTTACGATATTCCCTAGATAGACATAATTTATTTTCTCACGTTGGCATGTGCTGGAAAAACATGTAATCCTTTTGTTGTTATTATTAAACTTCTTGCCAAATTATTTATGATGTTGGGCATCTGGAGTATGATTCTTGTTTCAACTTCAAGTATGGGGTGTATATTTTTCCTTGTTGACCCATTAGTGCTCGGAATCTTAGATTAACAAATTCATCTTCCTAGTACTATATTTGAAAAGCCTAGAGTTGTTCTATAAGGACATGTTAAATTGATGTTTGGAGTGCGTCACTTTATTTTGACCGAAAAAATGAGTACACGATGATGTCCTATGTTGTATGCCCTTTTTCCACCTGTTTTTCTTCTGTCACTACTATTTTTTTAGTGTAAATATGCTTTTATCAGAAGAAATATTAACATTTTAATAAAAAATTGTTGGTGTATCTATTATTGGGATTCATAATTCATTTTCTGCTGGATGCAGGAGCTAGAAAAGTCAAAGCCTGTAATTTTGACTGGTGATCTAAATTGTGCTCATGAAGAGATAGACATATACAACCCTGCTGTAAGTGATTCATATTTACTATCCTCCATGAAAACAGTGTATCACATCTAAACCTTAATAAACAATATGAATGAAGCTAGGAACTTGTTTCTGGTGAAAATAATGGATTTAGAAGTAGAAAAAAAAAGTATTCATGAAGTTGTTGGTATGCATTGGCAAACTTGAATTCAATTATCATTCAATCTTCTCGTTATGGTTTGTTATAAAATTTGAAATCAAATTTCATTGTTACACAATTTAATATTTTCTTTAAAGAGCTGTACACGTAAATATTTACAAATGTTGACTGAGTCATCAGACATGATCCTCTTATCTAAATTGACTTTTCAGTTTAAAAATATTAATAATTATATCCTTGTGTGACTGGAGCTTGGAGGGAAGGGAGGGGGGATGCAGCTGGTTTTATTCAAACTGCTGGCCGCTTGTTGCTACTCCAGTCACTATTATTACAATTACAAGTAGGCATCAAAGCACAATTCTCTCCAAGTGTCAAGTATAACGCTTGTTGACACTTAACATGTATTCGTAGTGACATTCTTGATCTGCTGAGATAGAACTGGAAATAGCAATATCTAGAATGGTGATAGCTTCATGGTGCGCTGTACTTGAGACTGGTGTTCCTAGCATACCACATCGCCCAACAGCATCCTGGACATGCTGTAGGATTGACGAGGACGTCAAGCATATAAGAGGAGTATGTAACAGTCAAAATCCCGAGTGCTTTGATAATTATGGCAGGGCTGTTGGTAGGCTAGTAGCTTACTACAAGTTACACAACCATAACCATTTCTGGCTCGTGGGGTTTGGTTTTATTGAAGTTTTTTACAGCTAAACGTTCTATTTGATTTGAATAGGTGGAAATAAAGACAGGATGGAATATAAATTAATAATCTGTCTGTTAAATAGCATGAAAGTGAGAAGTGCCAAGAGCACAAAAATCAAGTGTTCAAATCCTTTCTGATAGAGATAGTTACTTCTATTGACAGGGTAACAGAAGAAGTGCTGGGTTTACAGATGAAGAGAGGAAATCGTTTGCAACAAACTTCTTATCAAGGGGACTTGTAGATACCTTTAGAAGGCAGCACCCTGGTGTTATTGGATATACTTATTGGGGTTATCGGCATGGTGGACGCAAGACTAACAGAGGTGTTTCTAGCTCACTCTTAAATACTTTTTCTTACATGCTTTACTTTTTGTCTAGATCTAGTTGTGTGATGTCTGAATATTAATAAATAAACTGCTTAATTTCTTTTACGTGATTGTGCTGAGTTCATAAGCACAAGCTCATGCACCTGGTGCTCACATGTTTGTTCTCCATTGACTTCTCTCCTTGTCCCTTTGCATATATTCCCAATTTGTTTTCTCCTTATAGATGGGAGTCTATTACGCACTTTTCCAGGGTATTCCAGAGATAATGGCATTCTAAGTTTTTTCTTATGCTATTCAAAAGAAAAGGCATGGGTTTCCATTGTCAACTTCTGTTCCCAGGATAGATTTATGCTTTATAATAGTTGTGTTCTTTCATCCTTTCATGTGTCTGTATACACGCCTTTTTTTTTCTGTTGGGGTACTCTTTCTCCTAAAATACAAGGGCAAAGCCAACCTGTAGCTTATATAATCCTACAAAATTTTCCAATGTTAGTGTAAGGTTTGTGTAACTGAAATTTGCAAGATGTCTAATGAGAATTACTTCGGAGGATGTCCATACTTGACAGGTAATGGTATGTATTTCTTCAGTTTGTATAGTGAAATACTTATGTTTCTTCTGAATTTTTAATGCCTTTCAGTTAAACATTCTTTGTTCTCTCAACAATTTGTTTCAATATTTAAAACAGGGTGGCGTCTTGACTACTTCCTTGTCTCAGAATCCATTGCTGACAAAGTTCATGATTCATACATTCTTCCTGATGTAACTGGTAGTGATCACTGTCCTATTGGCCTTATTATCAAGCTTTAGTTCAGCAATTAAAGCACCAAGTCTGAGTATGTGGTGAATGTTGCTAGAAATTGTAATTCATGGGCAAGCCTAATTTCCAAAATCAGGGACTTCAGCCTTTTTGCCTGGTTTGCTTCAACTTAAAGTCTTCTTTAGTTGTACATACTAAACCATGATTTTGACTAAGTTATAACAAGTTTGAGCGGGATTGGGGATTTGGGTTTGGTGGAAAGAAATGTGGGAATTTGGTAGACTCAGGATTGGAACCCTAATCATGATATATATGTTCTGCAAGGATGTACATGCACAATTTCTACCTCATGATATATGATCTACTTAAATATTAGGATGCTAGTAATTAAAGAAGGATAACCTAGGTATTGGGCCTTCTTAACATGACCCAAAACATATATAATTATCAAATTTGAAGTTTTGATCAAATATGTAATTCTACTTTTCTGTAATTTTATATTTATCAATTAATTCACCGTCAAGTTTTACTAAACTTTTAACTAGTCAGTTTCTTGTATAGTGTACGGCTATAAAGCCTGGATACTTGATACGACACTCATTCAGATACGGGGATATAGAAAAAATTTAAATTTCAAGATACGATGTGACTTAGATATTTTAATATGAATTTAATGAAATAATATTTATAAAGAGATATTGATAATTAATTTGTATTAATGTGTTACATTTATATATCAATGATCACATTTTACAAAAAAAATGTATGTGATCATATCTTTCCCTTGTCTATGAACATATCAAAAAATTACATACTTTACCCTTTATTCAAGTTAGAATTTCACAAAAGAAATGGTAGTTCTATTCAAAAGAAATATAGAACTATCATAAAAAGAATGTCTTGTCTTTATACTATTTAATTCTAACATTGTCACTTATTTCCTCCATCCTCATTGTCTACAAAAAGCATAACTTCTAAGTTTGGTTCATTAAGAGATAATTCAGTCAATTCAAGAAATCTAGCACCATTATCAAGTGGATCATCTACATCTTCACTAATATCCCACATCCTTGTCTCTCCTTTAGTATACTTTTCTTCTTTCCTAGACAAAAGATGAAGGTTGGAATGCACATAAATCAAATCTTCAACCCTTTTTGGATTCATTTCGTTTCTCTTCAAAGAATGAATGAACAAGTACGTATTCCAATTCCTCTCACAGCAAGATGAAAAACAAGGATGTGCAAGAAGCTTTTAAGGCAAGATTTTGAAGTAAAATGGTAGAAGATCCATGCATTACCCACCAAGATTTTGGGTCCAATGTCCACCTATCTTCAATTGAATCAAAAGAAGCAAAGTTACTTGCACAAGATGAGAAATTTGAGAATTTAACAAAAACATTTTTTCTTTCCTTAGCATTAGGAAAATATCTCTTCAAACATTTGTTCCTTTCTCTCGAAACTTCATCATCTTGATGTGGAGGAACTCTATTTGGAGCTTCCCTAAGCTATTCTTCACTATAATACCTACATATGATTAAAAAATTTGTTATAGTATGATTTTTATTTTTCAAGAGACAGTACAACCCTTGCTCCACCTAAAATTCAGTATACTATGAACAACATCATAAAAATTGGAAACCTCATTTGCTTCCTTTTTCTCATGCCTATATATGATTGTCTTCACTTTTTCAATCATGGAATCCCACATTTCATAGACCAAATGAAGAGTAGAAGCATCTGGGTCACATTTTCTAAGCATGCTATATATAGGATCTGTGAAAGAAATAATATAGTCTAATTTATTCCACTATATATCATTTAAAATAATTTCTTTCACATGGGCATCTTTACTAACATCATCTTCTCTATAACTATTCCATTGGTTACTAATGACCATATTTTGCAAAGCACGTTTCAACAACTTCAATCTTTTTAGCATGACAACCATTGATGCAAAATGAGTTTCAGCATCATAAAGCAATTTAAGAGATGAAAACTCATTAAAAATAGTCAATCTCATAGAGTGAGTCATTATGAAAGTCTTAATAAAAGATGCATCATCAACTAGGAGAGTGATTCAATGACACTCATTAAAAACATTTTCATTTCTATCAATATTTCTAGCTGCACATATGTTTTTCAATGCTAAATTTAAAGTATGAATGGCACAAGGAGTCCAAAATACATGAAGAAACTCAGCTTCAATTAACATCTCAGCTGCCTTTCAAACAGGGGCATTATCCGTTATGATTTAAACAACATTTTTTTTGCCCTACTTCATTAATTACATCCTTTATTATGCTGGCCATGTAGTGTTTGTGTTTGTAATCCTTAGAACCATCAATAGCCTTTAAAAATATTGGCCCTCCTTCACTTATAGCCATGAAATTTATCAATGGCCTTCTTTGAACATCTGTCCATCCATCAGAAACCAATGTAACTCCTTTTATAAGCCATAAAGATTTTATAGGTTGGAGCAATATTTCAATATGAGATCTCTCTTGTTATAAAAGACTAGTTCTTAAAGCATTATAACTAGGAGGAAAGAAACCACGAAGTTTATGGTTTGTAGCAAATGAATAAGAGCTAACATAGTAAGGATTTCTAGCAAGATGAAATGATAAGTCAGCTGAATAAAACATTCTTGCTATCTTTGCTCTAAGTTGATTTCTTTCATCCAAATTGAAAGCCCTTTCTAGTGTACCACTTCCTATTTTTTTTCTTTTCTAGGATAAAGTTGTTGAAGCTGCTGAAGGTAGTGGAATAGTTTTGGGCTTAATTTTATTCTTAGCTTCTTCACAAATTCTCTTTAAATCAGCCAAGTATTCAGGAGTGACCTTAGGACAAAAAGCAACACCAGCACTAGATATTCTAAGTAAATATGTTTTCACTCTTAAGTATGAACTTTTGACCACTTTGTCACAAAAATTACAACTCCATAACTTGTTGCCTCCTCCATCTCCTAGCTTATCCTTTATAGTGACAAATGCCCAAAGTGGAGCATGATCATCTTGAAGTTCTAATGAACCAAAGTTACTTGGAATTCTAAAATTTGAGCCAGAACTAAAACTTATTTTTTGTCATCAAACACAACTGTGAAAAAATGCAAGAATAACAATTTTACTTTATTGCTATAAAATGAATAGAAAAGAGGAGATTATGAAAGAGGAAGTTTGTGAGATTTTACTGCCACACCAATGGAGAAAGAATGTTAAAATTGTTGAAATCTAGAGAAGAGAGAAGAGGAACAAAGTTTAGAACAATGAGAACACACCCACTGTGACTTGAAGCTCGAAAATCTCCTTTACGAGAATGAGGAACTCAAGGTCTCCAACTTTTCCCTCCCTACCTTGCCGGAGCAGCGAAGATCCAACAGGATGCTCCTCACGCCATACGGAATGTCAGCTTACGTGGCGCCGGAGGTGTTGAAGAAGAAAGGATACGATGGGTCGAAGGTACCTAGTTGTGTGGGGTTATCCTCTTCTCTTTACTTTTTGGGTACCTTCCATTTCAACGCTAATATACGGCTCCAAAGTTCAGGAACTGTGAAGCCCGGAATCGAACCTCAAAACAATGACAGAAATGGGGAAATTGATGAGTTCTGAACCCTATCTGATTTTTTATTTTTCGATAAGTTTTGGTTTCATTCCTAACTCATGAATAATAACGGAAATGGAGAAATGAAAGACGGATTGAAACTCTCCATTTCAATATTGTTAATTCACTCAAGCTGACCATTGTTTTTAGTCAAGCCGATTTGGAGTCGTTTCTGAGTCATATCAGACTATTTATAGCTGTATCCCAACCGTATCGAGTTTAAATTTAATTTTTAAAAATAAATTTAATTTTTGATACTTCTTAAATATATATCTAAGTGTATCTGACACGTAATAGTATTTTCAATAATAAAAATATAGTATAATTATTTTTAAATTTAATATATTTTATTAATTTAAAATTAAATATTTTAATTTTTAACAAGACATATATTATTATATTAAATAAGATTAAATTAAAAATATGAAGATTTTAAATTAAAAATTAAATTTAAAATTTAAATTAAGATCGAATTTACAAGATAAATGATGTAAAAAAAACATAATTATTAGAGAGAGATAATTAGCTTTTAAAATTAGAGTTAGAATTTATTGACATTTAATGTCAAATTTGGACAATTATGGATTATTTAATAATTTTTTATAAATGTGAGATTAATTAATTTAAATATAAAATCATCCTGATTTAATTTTATCATGTATATCAAATTTTATATAATTTAATATTTAATTATATTTTAAAAAATATTACATGCAAAAATAAACTAATATGATTAAATATGTATTTATTTTGTTTTTGAATGGAATAAAAAAAATATTAATGAGTAGATCTTAACTCTTAAAATTACTTATATTTAAGATAACTCATGAAAATACTTTTGCTTAAAAATTTAGATTCACACACACACACACACACACACATATATATATATATATATTAGTTTTTTAAAAATTTTGAGCTTTTACCTTTTAGCTAACCTTTTAATCTTTAGTGAACATGTTCTTAATCTGTTTCCAAAATTTCCTGTTAACAAATAAAGGTCATTATAGTCATTCTCATCTACACACACACAAGCAAATTGATTCGAAAGGCTTTTCTTTAATGGCTTAAAGTTTGATTCTTTTAGTTAAATTTTTTTAAGAAGTGAATCCTTACCATATTTTATATAAACATGTTAATAATATGTCTAGGACATTTGCTAATTTTTAGGTTTCCAATCATTAAATGATATATATTTTTTATATAGTATACATTTCTAGATTTTTTTTAACAAATGTTTTTAAAATATTTAAAATATTCTTTTACGATTTCCATTAAACAAAATTTAGGTATGGGAAAATTTTAACACGGACCACAACATATAATTATTTAATTAATTGGCTGTATAGATAGTTTATCAAATAATTTTAATAATATAAACAACTTTTTTTATAAGTTCATAACTTACTTTCAGTTAATTTCATAGTTAAATTAAAACTTAACTTATAAACAATTTTATAAATTTGCAACTTTTAACTGGTTTTATCAAACATAACTTAAGTTATTAATTAAATAATTAAAAATTAAAAATTTTAATAAAAAAGTTGTTCATGCACCTCAATTATGATTTTTAATATACATTAACATTATTTATACAAAATTACTTATAACTTTTCGAACATCTATTAACAGGACACTAATTAAAGTAACCATGCTAACTTACTAAAAATATAAAGTAAAATTTTAAAAACAAATATTGCTCATGCATATGTATAAATTTATGTTTAATTTAAAAAGAATAAAGTTTCCACGTTGATCACTCTCGATGAAATGGCATCACCCAATTGGTTCTATGACGACCGTAAATGAAGAAAAGAAAAGAGAGAAGAATCAAAAGCAGTCCTCAAATAAAATTGAAGGTCACTCCAACCTCTGCAAAACAACAATGGCAGCACGAAAGAGACTCTCATCAACAGAACCTTCTTCTGCTGC